CTGCTTGACCATATTACTAATGGCTGCAGTGGTGAGAGTGCATCGGATTCGTCACTCTCCTTCGAAGTCCAGTCACAGTCGTTCATGATTTACCTACTTCGAACAATTCTCACAACCGTAATTCTTCTTCCAGCACTGCAAGGTTTCCTAATCAAAACAACAAATAAAATTATTAATGCGATTAATAGTATAAGTGAAGCGGACATTACAAAAATGATGAATGAGAATACATGTATCTAAAATGGTTGTTCCTAATCGATTTTCTTGAGACTATCATCAGGGAAAATCGTCTCACAATAGAGGCTATACGGAGAAACAAACTACTTATAGGTTAATGGATAGTGGGAAGTATACAAGGTGAGGTGTGAAAAAAAAAATAAAGTGGGAGAGAAGACGAAAGAAATTAGAAGAAAAGATGTGAGAGTGTTCTGACGGTGTGAGCTACTACAAAAGGTGAGTGACATGAAGGCGTGGAAGCAGGTGAATGTGATAGAGTGAGGAACTGTGAGGTGTAGGTGTATGCGAAAGAATACGTGTGTGAATGCTAGGTGAAGAGCTCTCACATCTTTTCTTCTAATTTCTTTCGTCTTCTCTCCCACTTTAGTTTTTTTTTTTCACACCTCACCTTGTATACTTCCCACTATCCATTAACCTATAAGTAGTTTGTTTCTCCGTATAGCCTCTATTGTGAGACGATTTTCCCTGATGATAGTCTCAAGAAAATCGATTAGGAACAACCATTTTAGATACATGTATTCTCATTCATCATTTTTGTAATGTCCGCTTCACTTATACTATTAATCGCATTAATAAAGTTATTGTCTCCTCGTCGCCTTAACAAATAAAATGCTTGGAAGTAACAAGAAGTCAGTTCAAATAGGAAGACAACACTCCCTAGTTGTATTCAATAGTTTTGTAATTAGTAAACAGCTGGTGTTTCTCTTTAGTAATTGGAAGAACAACGCGCAAAGTCTGCACATCAACTCAGTTCGCCTCTATTTCTGGCACTGAAGTTATACTTTACACAATATTATAATCTTGTGAAATCACGCGCATACACTCAATCACATACAAAGGATAATAAAAAGCTGACAGGACCGCTTTTCTAAAATACAAAAACCCAACCCACACCCATCTCTCTTATGTAGTCTTCACCTCCAATTCTGACTTGGAATCACACAATTTGACATATATATTATATATTATGTCATGCCGATGAGGAAAGGGATAGGATGAGGCGATGGTGTGAGTCTAGCCCGACTAGGGACAAGTATGTGGGTAGATGAGGCATGAAGATATGAGGTGTGAAGACATTAGGCATGAAGAGATGAGGTATGAACAGATGAAGTATGAAGAGATGAGGTGTGAAGAGATGAGGTGTGAAGAGATGAGGTATGAAGAGATGAGGTATGAAGAGATGAGGTATGAAGAGATGAGGTATGAAGAGATGAGGTATGAAGAGATGAGGTGTGAAGAGATGCGATACGATGAGATGTAGAGATGTGATAGTGTAGTCGGTGGCCTTACACCCCCTAAGTCATAGATCAGCATTAGTGTCTAGACTAGACTTCACCATTTTCAGCCACTGGCTATGCAGCTCTGTTTTTGTTTGTGGTGTTGAATGGACGGAGCACAAAGACAATAGAAAAAGTTCACGGTTCTTTTCCGCATCCGGAGGAACGCCACCACCCTTCAGGGATCAAATGCAATAATTATTTTATTTGAACTCGGATGGTGAGCCAATATAGTTATGATGAAGAAAGGAAAAGGACAAAATGTTACGAGTTATGACACACTGTCCACCAACGTAACCAGATCTTATACAGGCAGCGAGTGCGACAAATGGCACAAAACTGACAAGAAGTACTGAGACATTCGGCGACCTGACACCTAGCTGCAACACCTCTCCAAGGTGCAAACCAACAACCTTCCAACTCGGAAGGCTCAGGTTCGGAAAGTTCCAAGAGGGCAAGGAAAGCGCAACGAAGAAGAGCACGAGCTACGTGTCACGACAACTAAGAATGCCGAAAGTTACTGGATGATGACGAAACTAGTAAGACTATTGGACGGACCGGCTTCATTACAACTCGACGACGCAAAGCAACAGACCACCCAACTTGGGCGGCTCTAGTTTATGTAATAAACGCTTTCCTTCCCTTCGTGGACCTTTCCGAACCTGAGCTTTCCAAGTTGGAATGGTGTTGGTTTGCACCTTGGAGAAGTATTGGAGCTAGGTGTCAGGACCCCGAATGTCTCAGTAAACAAGCCTCTTGTAGGGGCAAAGCAGATGTGCTTACATAATATTATGACAAAAATGTCTCAGTAGTCCTTGTCAGTTTTGTACCATTTTGTCGCACTCGCTGACTGTATAAGATCTTGTTACGTTGGTGGACAGTGTGTCATAACTCGTGACATTTTGTCCTTTTCCTTTCTTCATCATAATTATATCATTATTAGAATTTTTGGCTAATTTTGACATGGACTAGAACGGGACTGTACAATACCACATATGGGATCAAAGTTACATACAGAAACAAAGGAACTCACGTATTTTGAATCATGTGTGAACTCCCAAGCCGCACAGTATATCTTCTAGAAGATGAGCGACATTTTAAAGAAAGAACTGTTTTTCTTTACAAAACATGAACCGCCTAGGGACGTTCCGCGCAATAAAATTGTTTCTCCTTGTTAATTTGGAAATACATTACTTTTGTGTAAGAACTGCAATGGAAAACATAAAATTAAACTGTAGATGTCAACTGCAATACAATGATAATGTTATTGATTTTACATTTGTTGACGTCAGCCTGTAAGCAGTGAAATTTGCATGGAGACCTAAATTAAACATCTGGAAAAACAAACCATTGACTGTTAGTATTTGCATGGTCTTCAAATTTTGTTTTCGCTTTGATGGATTTGTCACCAGCGCTGTCACCTGATCAGTTTCTCTAAGGGATGGATTCTTTCTTGGACTTCTAGGTTGGAGTGCTTGCCCAAAGATTTGGAACATTCCGCACACTGAAAAGCATATCTCCAGTATAGGCATATCTCCAATATGGATGCGTTCTTGTTCTGTCTGTTCTGACACTTCAGTGCACTGAAAGGTGTGGAGGAGTAGGCACTATGACTCTGTGTAGACGATCCAGTCACTGAAGTAGGATCTGCGTGTTGTGCAGCCCTAGATCTGTGAGCAATGGTCTTGGAAATGCCAGTCAGGAATGTGTCTCACCGAATCAATTTTAAGGACTGTTGAAGAGATTCTCTTTTACCTTACATTGCAGTTAAAGTAACGAAATGTATTCCTATCGCACAGCTATGAGTCCAATTATAGTCAATAAAAGTGTCCTCGCAGGGAATGAAATGCACCCAATCATACAGAAGGGAAGGTCAGCTCCTCGTGGAAAATATATCATATCCTGTATTTCTTGTGTTGTAATAGCTCACATTTATACTAGTGTTGAAACGAGCGTATCTATAACAAACGAGCGATCAGTTCCACTAACGAGCAAGCTATCGAGCGAGCTAACGAGTTTCATTGATGTGGCAAATATGATTATTTTTTTGAATATTTTTTTTCTGAGTTCGATTTTTTTCAGCTGGTTCAAATTATCACCGCCGGCGGCATTTGGGGTTGCTGCTGCTTCACTTCGGACTGCTGTTTGGTGTCGAGATGTCTTTTCAGCGCCGTCGTCGATTAGTCTTTGTAAGAATAGACCGTTTTGCAAAGATTGCAAGTAGCCCTGGTCTTCGCTGCATCGCGGGAGAAAACTTCCAAACGACTGAGCGTAACTTTCACTCGAATGGAGAGGTGACCGAAGCATATCCTGCGACAGGTCAGCAGATGCGGAACAAGACATCAGTAGAGTCCACCAAAGCTGCAACGACAACTGAAACAACTCAAGTGTCGTGCAGGCATGCAGTCACCTGTAACTGCGAGTGATTTTCACTTTGCGCGGGACTGGACTCTCGATCGACCAGGGAGTCGTAAAATATTTTACTACTCCCCGTCCCGGTCGACATGTACTGCCATGTGTACGGAGTACGGTGTACGGTGTTCGTTAGGGCAAACGAGCTGGCCGCACAAACGAGCCGAGTTTCTGGCGAGCGAACTAACGAGTATCCGGTGAGATCGTTTCAACACTAATTTATACCAAGTTTAGCAATGGAAAAAATCTAGTTCCTTGCCACAAGTTTATTATACGTATCTAATATTGACTGAGTGAGGTCAATATAGGAAATAAAAGGCGAGTAAAAGACCGATGCGAAGCCGAGACTGACCAAGTACGAAGTCAATATTAGATTTATCACGGCAAACAGTCCGTACTTCAAATTTCAGAACGATAACCTCATGAATACCGGTTTTATGATTGTACAACCGTTGCACCACCACCTACTCATGCAGTGACAATGCTGCACTAGGCACCGTTCCACTGCGCAACCCCTAAGCAGTCAAATATAAGCAGTCAGTATAGCCCTCAGGAGTGAAATATGCAGGAATATTTGACTGCTTAGGTATAGCGAAAATCAATGGGAGTCAATACTAAGAGAGTGATAATGCCCATTATAGATTACCATAATTTGGACACTAATGATCATGAAACTCATTCTAGAGCGAGATGCTTATTCCGCTATGATAAGCATCACAATAACCATCTTCTCTATTGCATTTGGCATTTGGCACATCCAGCACTGGCGGTGCATCCTAACTGTGACTCTAGTAGGCAACCTATCAACCTCACACTGGTCTGATGCAGTGGAGTAAGATACGTTTTACGTTCTCAGCTATCAAAAAAGAGAATCGCTGGCCATACGCAAGGGTCCCTGGTTTGAGTTCTGGTATTGACGGTCAAATTTCCCGTTTACGCATTTTCACCCAACAACGACAGTGCGATAGTATTTGAAGAGTTTTGATAAGTAGTACAAGTAGATCGTTACTATACAGTATGACACATGGGACAAAGAGTACATACATGAACAAATTTTTAGCGTCATATCCGAAAATGAAAAAAGTAGAGTGCCTCTTCCAGCGAAAAGATCCGTACCAGGCATGCGTGCTCCAGCAGTAGGTTTCGGTTATATAGCATGACTGATTTATCCCAAAAAACACACAGTAAAGTTTAGCGCAATTGAGTGGCAAGGTAAGTATGGAAACACGTTCCTTTTCTGTAAGAAGTGCAATGGAAAACAAGAAATGAAATAGTGGATATCACTCGGAGTATAATGGCAATGATAATGGTTTGCACGTTACATAATTATGTTGAAGTTAGCATGTAAGTAGAGACCTTTGCATGGATAACGGATCGGGCTTTAAACGACATTGATTTTATTCTACTTGCGGTTGGAAACGGGCCTATGAGTAGCACTTTCAACAATCTTGAAAACAATCTTTCTGTTTTACGGTGTTTGTATTTGCATGGTCTTCCATGTTGTTTTTCACATTGAAAGACTTGTCACCATAGCTGACACTTGATCAGGTTCTCTCAAGAGTGTGGATTCGTTGATGATTTGCGAGAGTTGACGTTGCTCGGAAGTCTTTGCCACATACTTTACACTTGTATGGTTTCTCTCCAGTATGGATGCGTTGATGCACCGTGAGATTTGATTTCGTCGTGAATGACTTGTCGCACAAGTTACACTTGTGTGGTCTGAGTCTCTCTCCAGTATGGATGCGTTGATGCACGGTGAGATTTGATTTCGTCTTGAATGACTTGTCGCATGATTTACACTCGTATGGTCTCTCTCCAGTATGGATGCGTCTATGCCGGGTGAGCTTTGATTTCGTCGTGAATGACTTCTCGCACGATTTACACTTGTATGGTCTCTCTCCAGTATGGCTACGTTCATGAACTCTAAGATGGGTATTACGGCGAAACATTTGATCACAGTAACCACACCTGAACGGCTTCTCTCCGGTATGGATACGTTCATGAACATTTAGAGCGGATTTGTCACCGAACGGCTTGGCGCAGTATTTGCACGGAAATGGTTTCTCAACAGAGTGAACTCGTCCATGACGTGTAAGATGAGGTAGCTTATTGAACGTTTTATTACACAAGTTACAATCGAGCGATTTCTCTTCAGGATGTGGACATTCATGAGATGTTACGCAAGACTGAGTAGATAAGAATTTATCGCAATGCTTACGTTTATACGTTTTTTCTCCAGGATGTGAATGTCCACGATCTAGCGGATCATGCCGGCGATCAGGTGACTTCCCGGTTTCCTCGCAGAGTGACGTTTCTGGTTGACGATGGTAAGTTTGAAGTTGACAAACTGCCTCAGAAAACGGCTCTGAGGTGTGATGATTGTTGATCCTTTCACGATTGTGATTCTTGGGATCCTCAGGTAAGCTAGCCACTTGGGAAGACACTGGCACATATCCGGCAATATGTACTCTGCGGCCTCCGTTAACGTTAACATTGCCAGCATTGCTTGAGAAATTGCTATACTCCGAGTTTAACGTTGCGTTCCCACTGCCTGTGTAGTGATCTGAAACGGGAACGGAATAGTTTACAGTTGCTTTACTGTTGTCTCGCGTACAGTGATCGTCGTCCATTGCCAATGTCATGGGATCCAAACATGGGTTTAAGACAGCTGTGGTTGGAGCTTCACTGGGCTTTGTATCTTTTGCCCTCTGGATTTCGGGTCGGGGGTCCATGACGTTGTCAGCAACGCTCTTCAGCCGATAATTTTGAAGTACACCGAAGGAAGACGTTTGTGTGTTCCAAGAACTGAATGAGGAACCCTGAATAGAACTATAGGAGACCTGTGCGGTCGCTATTTGTTCACCACTATCGTGGTTTGCGGGGAATAAAGCTGTGTAAGGTGCATTGTAAGGTAATGTAGCTGGCGGTGGAACTGCCCTTCTGCTTGTCCATATCACTAATGGTGGCGATGGTGATTGTGCATCATAGTCGGCACACCCCTCCGAAGTGCAGTCACTATCGTCCATGATTCACTTCCTTGACCAATTTTCACCACCTTTTCAAATTAAATCTCCTTCCAAATTCGGCAAGGTATTCGAATTCAATATCAACAATTCAAATAGGAAGACAACTCTTCCTGGTGGTAGCCAATAGTTTTGTAATTAGTAGCAGCTGGTGTTCCCCTTAGTAAGTAGATGTACAGTGTGCCAAGTCCTCACGTTAATACAGTTCACATCTATTTCTAGCACTGTCCCTTTACCTGACACAATGTGTATACTTCGAAGTAATTCTTGTCATGTAACGCGCGCAGACATACACACACTTACAGACACATACAAAATTCCCCACCATGAACTATCTCTCAAATTTCGTCTTCACCTTCACACCTCATTTGGAATCGAAAAATGTGAAACATGCATGGCACGCACCAGACTTGAGAAAGTGCAACAGAGAGTCTTTGTTGCTAAAAATATATATGAATTGAGACACAGTTTTATGGAGGTTTTTTAGCGTAGAGGGAGATATTATAGGAAGGGTTTACAAGATGTGACAATGTCATGATCTTCAACATTAACCTCCGCTTTCGGCACTGATATGCATTGAATAACGTTATCATTGTTCTTTTATCATGTTACAGTTGTTCACGCAATGAAAAGACAAAAGAGTGTGTTGCGTGCGCACAAAAAACATGACAATTAAAACTACAGCTAATGTATTTCCCGTGTTATTGGCCTTGCTATAGTTGGTGAAGCAAGTTGTGGTGAAGACAGAAGTAACGAAGATACCAACAGGCGATAACTGTTAGCAACTTCGGCGATTACTTCATATGGAAAGTTTTTGTTCCTCACACCGGGGCTTGCTCTATTCGCCTACTGACTTGATTTTATATACTCATGATTGCCACCAAGAGCACACAAGAAGTCAACCGAAACTTCGAATCAAGCTAGCCTGCAAAATATCACCACTCTTTAGCCAGGTATCAAGTCAGTCGGCGGAAAGCGCGAGCTCTGTTGTGGGGAGCAACCGATTTTCCTCAGATGATTTCAACCCAATGAATATATTGATTTGTCCACTATGTACAAACACCACTAGTTAAAGATATCTGGCATGCATGCTGCTTGAACGTATCTAGATGTAAACACCTTCCACCACCCTTTCCGATCGGAACAATCTGACCGGGGAGAAATTATGCCAACCCATTTGGGTTGGCATAATTTCTGTTCAGCATGAGGGTTACAACTACTGATCAGAAATTACATTTTCATTTCAAGGCCAACGACCAAAACGTAGTGGTAATAAAAAGAGGGAATATGTTCTTGCCATGTTGGAAGCTTTGTACATATGTTAGTTAGGACCTGAGCTTTGTGTTCCGAAGGAGAATGTGTTGTCTTTGCAGTTGTTTGGCACTGTTCGTCGTGAAGATGCGAAATAGATCCCATAATCTCTTGATATTTTCTCTCTTTTTCTTGTCACTACGTTTTTGTCACTGATTGGATCATGCATGCTGTTTTCTTGACTATTCACATCTATTTTTTCCCTTGTCACTTCTACAAATTATTGGAGTGATGTATCTCGGAAATTCCTTTAGTGATAGCTGTATTCTCTTAGCATATTTTCATCATTCCCTGTAGTATTTTGAGAAGAAGGGAACGAAAACGTTCAATACTTTTTGACACATGTCCTAATTCGCAGGTAGGCCTTGACAGATTATGCTAGCATAATTGTTCGCATAACTCCTACCAAAATCGAATAATCGCATAATTCGAGGCAAATTGCATACGAATCGCAAAAAATTGGAATAATCCGCCTGTTCGCATCAAATTCCATACAGTTGTACATGTTCTACAAGTACAAGTACAAGTAGATGCACCAGGAAGTCGTAGGTTTACGGCTCCCTTGATAACATGTCCAGTCCACTACATTCAGTGACGGTCGTAGCTAGGTCGGACGGTGCGTTGACCCCGTTGAACTTTTGCTACTACAGTACAACGCCCTCTACAAAAACCAGAACCATTTATGCAAAAGCAGCATTTGTGAGCATAATGTGGCATAATATGGTAACTTTTAGCTTAAAAATAACATAATCCTGCAAATTTTTCAGCAATGCGAAAAGCATAATTTCACGAGAATATTAGCATAATCTGTCAAGGCCTATTCGCAGGTGCATCCGTAGCCAATACATTTTTTTGTAGTATTATTAGTGAACAAGTGTTTCGGAGACAGGAGTTTTAATATAGCTACAAAGACAACTAATTGCACCGTAAACATTTCATATATGCCGACATGTATGTGTAAAACGTTGTACGATTATCACCTTTTTGTTTCGCTCTTTTTCCACTTCTTTCACTTTTATCTGTCCAAACAAGATTAGTTTCAAGTAGTCTCCATTCCATTGTTCCGTAGGTTCACTGATGATTGTAACAAGAAAACAGTTCTGAACAAAACCTCGCTTTCCCTTTCGTTGTGTGCCTTGCGATAATCGTACAACATTTTACACATACATATCGACATAATGAAATGCTTACTGTGCAATTAGTTGTCTTTGTAGCTATATTATTATTACATGTAGTATTATTATTAGTTTGCACACACATATACACACTCACACCCCGACACAAACGCAAACACACATGCACAATCTATCTATTTCCATATTTATCTTCACCTTAGCGCGAGACATGGGATCACCCAAGCTTCATGCTGACTCTGCAACACCTGACAAGAGTTGATGCAATCAAAGACACTTTGCTGTTAGAATATTACAACAAAGTGTCTGCTATGAATAGATGCATGGTTTATTATCTTCTCCTGTGATAAATGATAATATAGGTAAACAGTTTCCTCTGAGACACAAATGCGATAATACTCATAAAAGGACACACTTCAGGCTCATTACAAACATCTTGAAAGCTTTTGTCTTCACAAGTATACTTTAAAGGCTTCTCGTCAGACGAAATACTTAGGCTGTTAAGTAGGTCGTGAAAACCTCTTTAGTTACATGTATGTCCAGTTGTTGTCTCTTGTTGTCGCACTACATGTCACGCTTATTGAGTTTTCTCGCACTTGCATCTTTGTGTCATCATTGCAATTTTCTTTAGCTATCTTCTTTTTTTGCGCTGTTTTACCACCTTTTTACTGTATTTAATCCACCTTTCCTGTTCCTTTCCCTTGCCTGTATTTCACCTGACGAGAAGGCTTGATGGTATACCTGTGAGGACAAAAACTTTCAAGATGTTGGTAATGAGCCTGAAGTGTGTCCTTTTTATGAGTATTATGATAATATAGGCAGTGCTGATTATATGTTATGTATGATCTAGTACACTGTGCCCAGTTCTAAGCATTGGCGTGGTCCTCTTGCTACCTCGACACGTTATAACTGTTGACAATTTCGGTGGAGCTAAATTTTAAGAAACTGTTTACCTATATTATCATTTATCACAGGAGAAGATAATAAACCATGCGTCTATTCATAGCAGACACTTTGTTGTAATATTCGAGTATTATGATAATATAGGTAGTGCTGATTCTATGTTATGTATGATCTATTACACTATGCCCAGTTCTAAGCATTGGTATGGTCTTCTTGCTACCTCGACACGTTATTACTGTTGACAATTTAGGTGGAGATAAAATTTTAAGAAAGAATCTGATATAAGCGGAATGCATATCCTGATGTATTAGAAATGCCACATAATATCATGGTACATGTAAAATGTAAAATACAACCACAAAAGGAAATGCAAAAAGGTAAAAAGATTACGTAACCAAAGTTGAGAAGCCACTGAACGAAGGGTCAACCTTCGTCGTCGTGCTCTTGTATCATGAATATCCTGAGTTTCGCACGATGTAAAAACACCACATTCAAATCCTAAACGTCATGTACGTTCCGTGAACCCCACTAGATTTTGTGCATTCATAGGGAGCGAGAGTTGCTACATGTAAGTCTGAGGGAAATGTTGAGCAGTCGCTGCTTGGATGACTAGTAGTGGTAGAGTGATTAGTGGTAGAGCATGGCTGGGCATAATCGATTGTATCAGGTTGGAGTCCTGGTGGTCACAGTCATTTCCCCTTTCCACATTTCCCTCGAGCAAATGAACATTGAGATAATCTTTTTTAGAAGATTTTAGAAGTTTTGACGGGGACTTGGCCGGGTCTATACAAATGAGACCAGTGGTAGACATCTACATACAGGAATAAACTATCTCACATATTAAGCATCATTAGGGAACTTAAAACAGCACTGCGTCTCTTCTAGGGAAAGGATCCATACCCAGCATTCGTGCAGAAGAATAAAGATGCGCGAAAAAGTACAGATTTTATAAACCACGAGCCACATGATCAGCTCATCTGTTTTTTGTTGTTGTGAATGGTAGATATGGAAATACGTGTACGAAGTGCATTGAGTAACATGGCTAGAAACTGTACAATATAATTATACACTCTAAAACAATGATAATAATAATGTTTGTGTTGTTTCAAATATGGAAGTCAGCATGTAAGGAGTGAATTTTGCATGGAGCTCAGATTGGGCTACTTGCATTTCAAAACGCACTTTTAATGATTATTTTCCATAATCTGGGAAAGTAGTGTTTTGTTTAACGGTGTTAGTAGTTTGCATGGTCTTCCAGGTGTTGTTTTGTACCATTGAAAGACTTGTCACAGTCGCTGATAAGTTTCTCTCAGGGATGGATTCCTTCGTGTGCCGTTAGATTGGATTTCCGAGAGAAAGACTTTCCACATACTTTACACGAAAATGGCGTCGTGCCAGAATGGATGCGTTCATGACGTGTGAGATGTGATGTTTGTCTGAATGCCTTGTTACATATTTGACACTGGAATGGTTTCTCTCCAGTATGGATGCGTTGATGACCTGCAAGTTGTGCAGCAGTCCTGAATGATTCGCCACAACCCTTACATTTGAAGGGTTTCCATGCAGTATGGATGCGTTTATGATCTGAAAGATTCGATGCAGTCCTAAACGCTTTGTCACAAACGGTACACTTGAAGGGTTTCTCTCCAGTATGGATGCGTTGATGATTTGTGAGATTTGATCGTTGTGTGAATTCTTTGCCACATTCTTTACACTTGAATTGTCTGTGTCCAGTGTGGATGCGTAGATGAATTCTAAGTTGGGAACGGGAGTGAAAACCTCGATCACAGTGATCACAGGTAAACCGCTTCTCCCCGGTATGGTACCGTTCATGAGCAGTATGATTGGATTTATCACTGAATAATTTAGCGCAGAACTTGCACGTGAAGGGTTTGTCTCCTGAGTGAACTCGAACATGACGGACAAGAAGAGATCGCCAATCGAAGATTTTATCGCACACTTTACACTTAAAAGGTTTCTCTTCTCGGTGCGTACGTTCATGAAATGTTAGACTGGATTGAGTAGAAAAAGATATAATCGCAAAACTTACATTTATGCGGCTTTTCTACGGGACCTGAATGTCTGCGATCAAGCATATCATTCTAGCGATCAAGCGATGGCCCAGTTTCCTTGCAAAACGAAGTTTCGGGTTGAGGAAAGTCAGTTTGAAGTTGAAAATCTGCCTCAGAACTAGACTCGGAGATATGCCGATTGTTGTGCTGTAAGTTAGCCATCCTAAGATCCACTGCAACATGTTCGATATTATGAACGTCCAGGTCGGCAGATTTGCCCGAGTAATCGCCATCTTCCGACTCATCCACAACGTGTGCGTGGCCTGTGTAGTGATCTGAAACAGAAACGGGATGGTTAGCAGTTTGGTAACTGTTGTCTTGCGATGTTTGGCCATTGTTCATTGCTGATGTCATTGGATTAGAGCATGGGTTATCGTCAGTTGCTGTTGAAGGATCATTAGCGCGTGTATCCTTGTTTCTCTGGAACTCTGGGTGAGGTGGCCTGTAGTTGTCTGCTGCAGTGTCCAGCCAAGGGTGATCTTGGAGCACTCTGGAGGAAGATGTTGGTGTGTTCCAAGAGGTGAATGAGGAATGCTGAAGTGCGTAATTCGCAAAGGAGCCTTCTGAGATCGTCTCTGGGTTACCGCTATTGGGGTTTTCGTGGTGATGAGCTGTGTAAGTCGTACCGTAAAATGGTATATTTCGCTGTGGGGGATACCCAGTTGACCTTCTGCTGGTCCATATCACTAATGGTGGAAGTGGTGAGAGTGCATCAGAGTCGGCACTTCCATCCGAAGTCGAGTCACAATCATCCATGATCCACTTACTTCAAGAATTCTTCCAAACGCAATTATCTTGCCATGTAGGGCAAAGTATCCGAATTCAATAGCAATAATCCATAGAGCAGAAACAACTTGTGCTAGGATATTAGCACTGCAAACAGTAGCAGCTGTGTTTCCCAAATATGTACATGAACACTTTGATAATTTGTCACGTCTATTTCTAGCCACTAACTTTTACCTACGACCTGCTCTATAATTATCACTAACACGACCAATGTCTTAACAATCAGCTCATGCGATAAATTCGCACGACATTTACCGACGTTGACCGACGTTTACCGACGTTTACCGACGTTTACCGACGTTTACCGACGTTTACCGACGTTTACCGACGTTTACCGACGTTTACCGACGTTGACCGACGTTGACCGACGTTGACCGACATTATAGCGTAACTAGTAGTTCCTTGGTCTTTTTTCTTTTCTTTAAATTTATCCTTGCTTCTTCATCCGAGTCCAACCTTACATTTAAGTGACACATTATGATCTTTTCACATCATGCGCTCACCCCCGGAAACACACACATGCACACTCACACAAACAACCACCCCCCCCACACAAACAAACACACACACACACACACAAACACACACACACACAAACACACACACACACACACACCCCTCCACACACACAAACACACGCACACTATCTCTATTTCATTATTGTTCTTCAAATTAACGCTTGACATGGGATCAGCCAAGCTTCGTGTGGAGTCTGCAACACGTGACAAAAGGTGGTGCAATCTGAGACACTTTGTTGTTAGAATCGAAGAACACAAAGTGTCTGCTATGAACAGATGCATGGTTTATATGGTCTCCTGTGATATGGTCTAGGTGGTACGGGGCATTTGTTACGCAATCGATTAAAGTACGCCCCGTTCTAAGCATAGATGTGGTGCTCTTGTTAACTCGTCACAATATACCTGTTGACAATGTTGGTGGAGCTAAGTGTTTTAAGAAAGATATAAGTGAAATAAATATTGTGAGTTCCACACTATGTACAAAAAGCACAATTAAAACAGGAACCGTCATGTACGTTAATTTTTTGAACGTCTTGTACCTTCCTTGTATCCCACCAGCTTGTGTGGATTCACAGGAGACGTGAGTTTTTAAGTCTGCGGAAAACATTGAATGGTCACTGCTCGGGTGACCACTAGTGGTAGAGTGCTGAGTTGTAGGGCATATCTGGGCATAAGCGATTGTCGGATTCACCTCTACATTTGTCAAAAAAGGCAGTTAGGACACAGTATCGTCTTGGAAAGATCCCATCGACACCAAATTTGGGGTACTAGCTGTGCTAGTACTCGTCCGAACTAGCTCACACGCTGCACTGCATGGCTCTATACTGCTTTCAAGACTGCCGTCATGCGCTATGTTTTGCTGCATAATCACAAAATGATGGCACCCAACTCGTTTTGCTGAAAAGAAAAAATCTTGCTTGCCCTGTTGTGTTCTTCCAGACAACAGATCGTCCTTCTGCAGTGTTTCTTTTCCCCCCATCCCTCCCTATCCAACGTATTCAGACCATCATGATAATAATGGTAGGAACTGATCGGGTCCACTTTCACAACTGGTGTTATCTAGCCATTTCCCGCGGCTCTGCCTTGAGCTATATTACATCCATTAGCATTTCAGCTTTACGACGAGCTAACAGCAGATCTACGTTGAGCTAACAGCAGCTCTAATTTGAGCTTACAGCAGCTCTACGTTTAGCTATTAGCATCTCTACTTTGAGCAAACACTCTCACAGCTGGTGTTATCTGGCCATTTTCTGCGGCTCTGCCTTAAGCTATATTACATCCATTAGCATGGCAGCTCTACGATGAGCTAACAGCATCTCTACTTTGAAAGACGTCATAGTATCCGCCTACAATGGAACAATAAACCGACATTCACAGCTTCAACCATACACACAAACGGACAAGCGCACACACACATGCAAACACAACGAAAGTAGAGAAAGAAATGAACATATCTAAGAAATTATTATCGGCTCGCATGTCAGGTCAAAACATCACCGCAAAACACCTACTAAACTACCATATATTCCATCAATTATCGCGATAATATTATAATAAAAAATTACAATAATAAAAAGTACAGTTTACGAAACCGATTGAACGCACTACGAAGATTTCAGCGCTTAGCGTAGGTCGCAATTCTACACACGTCCAACTCCATTCTGCACATTCTCCTAACTCGTTGACTGAATATGACCAGAAGGAAATTACTAGCACACCACCAAGGGTGGATGGTAGGCAACGATAATGCAAGAAAAAAAGAAGACGACAACCGGAAAGTACGAGGAAAAAATTGCATATTCCAAGCAATATGTATTACGTTGAACGATACATGAAAAGCGCAAACAGAATCCTAGTACATGTGTTTGAAGAAATTTCAGGATAAGACGGTGCACACAGAGCAATAACTATAACTGAACAGTTACCAAAAAATGCCTATAAGAAAACGAGTTAGAGAGTTTGAAGCGTAAACAAGGAATAATGTTTTAAACGCTCTTTGATAGGTTAAAAAGCATTTCCCATAATCTTGAAAACGATACTTCTGTTTTCGGTGTTTTGTATTTCCATGGTCTTCCATGTTGTTTTTCGCATTGAAAGGCTAGTCACGATCACTTGTACTTGATCAGGTTCTCTCCAGGATGGATCCTCTCATGACGTGTTAGGCTGGATTTCTTAGTGAAAGACTTTCCACATTCCTTACGCGAAAATGGTTACTCTCAAGTATGGATTCGTTGATGATATTTGAGAGTTGACATTTCCCGAAATGCCATGCCACATACTTTTCACTTGTATAGTTTCTCTCCAGTATGGATGCGTTGATGCGCTGTGAGATGTGATTTCCTCTTGAATGACTTGTCACACCAGATACACTTGTATGGTCTCTCTCCAGTATGGATGCGTCGATGCCGGGTGAGATCTGATTTCGTCGTGAATGACTTCTCGCATGATTTACACTTGTGTGGTCTTTCTCCAGTATGGATGCGTCGATGCACGGTGAGCTTTGATTTCGTCGTGAATGACTTCTCGCATGATTTACAATTGTGTGGTCTCTCTCCAGTATGGGTGCGTCGATGCACGGTGAGCTTCGATTTCGTCGTGAATGACTTCTCGCACGATTTACACTTGTATGGTCTCTCTCCTGTATGGCTACGTTCATGAACTTTAAGATCGATATTACGGCGAAACATTTCATCACAGTAACCACACCTGAACGGCTTCTCCCCGGTATGGATACGTTCATGAACATGTAGGCCGTGTTTGTCACCGAATGGCTTTGCGCAGTACTTGCACGGAAACGCTTTGCCTCCTGAGTGAAGTCGTGCATGTCGAGTAAGATTATGTTGCGTGCTGAACATTTTGTCACACTCTTTGCACTTGAACGATTTCTCTTCTGGATGTCTAGATTGATGAGAACTTAGGCAAGACGGAGTAGAAACAGATTTATCGCAATGCTTACATCTATATTGCTTTTCTCCAGGATGTGAATGTTCGCGATCAAGCCTATCGGGCTGGCGATCAAGTGACTTTTCGGTTTCTTCGCAGAGTGTATCTTCTGGTTCCGGAAAGTCAGATTGAAGTTGACAAACTATCTCAGAACACAGCTCAGAGTTGTGATGAGTGTTGATCTTTTCAAGATCGTAATGATCGGAATCCGCGGGTAAGCTAGCCACTGGAGAAGACACTGGAAAATGGCCGAAGTTGTGTACAAGCCTTGCGTGAACGTTCATACCAGCAGATTTGCTGTAGTTCTTGCCATATTCATTGTGAAACGCTACTTCCTCGTAGCCTGTGTACTGATCTGAAACGGGTTCGCGATAGCAGTTAACGGTTGGGGTACTGTTACCTTGCGAAATTTGATCCTTGTCCATTGCCGATGTCAAGGAATCCAAACATGCGTTTTCGACAGCTGTATTTGAAGCATCACTGGTCTTTGTATCCTTGTTCCTCTGGATTTCTGGTCGAGGGTCCCTGATTTTATCTGTCACTGTGTCCTTGGGTACATGATCTTGAAGAACACCGGCGCAAGATGTTCGTGATTTCCAAGGGTTGAATGCGGTATTCTGAAGAGAAAACTGGAAAGAGGAGAATTCTGATGTGGGTTCTTGATTACCACTATTGGGGTATACACGTACGTGGTGAGATGATGCAGTTGGCGGTGGAGGACACGCGGTTGACCTTCTGCTTGTCCATATCACTAATGGCTGCAGGGGTGAGAGTGCATCAGAGTCGTCACTCTCCTCCGAAGTCCAGTCACAGTCGTCCATGATTTACCTACTTCGAACAATTCTCACAACCGTAATTCTTCTTCCTAGCACGGCAAGGTTTTCTAATAAAAAAAACAAATAAAATGCTTGGAAGTAACAAGAAGTCAGGTCAAATAGGAAGACAATACTCCCTAGTTGTATTCTATAGTTTTGTAATTAGTAAACAGCTAGTGTTTGACTTTAGTAATTGGAAGAACAATGCGCAGAATCTGCACATCAACACAGTTCACATCTATTTCTGGCACTGAAATTATACTTTCCACAATATTATAATCTTGTGAAATCACGCGCATACACTCAATCACATACAAAGGATATTAGAAAAGCTGACAGGATCGCTTTTCTAAAATACAAAACCCAACACACGCCCATCTTTCTTATGAAGTCTTCACACCCAATTTTGATTTGGAATCACACAATTTGAAACATATAATTATGTCATGCCGATGAGGAAAGGGATAGGATGAGGCGATGGTGTGAGTCTAGGCCGACTAGGGACAAGTATGTGGGGAGATGAGGCATGAAGATATGAGGTGTGAGGACACGAGGCATGAAGAGATGAGGTATGAAGAGATGAGGTATGAAGAGATGAGGTGTGAAGAGATGAGGTGTGAAGGGATGAGGTATAAAGAGATGAGGTATGAAGAGATGAGGTATGAAGAGATGAGGTGTAAAACTCTCCATGCTGTACGGGGTATATTTCAACGGCCTGCTGCCATTCCAACACTCCTAGGACAGTTTTTGGGGGTTCTCAGCAGTTCAAGCAGGAAATGAAGCTCATCTTACCTCTGCCATCATGGTCTGTTCCGAGTAGCGTTCCAGGCACATTCGCGATCGATGGCCGCGTATCGTGATGCAGGAAGCGTCATCCTACGTCACAGAGCACGCGATCTCACAGTGCATCTTGCAAAAAAATTCTAAAATTGCGTTCAGGCCTTGTCACTTTTGCATCAACAATCGCACAAAAAATTATTGGTGGCGCAAGGAGAAGCTTGTCGTTTGGAGTGGCAAGTGATCACCGCTGCTTTTCCTTGTCAGAGTCAACACTACACTTTGTTCTGCGGCCTTGGGAGTAGTGTTGGAGTAGAAATTGCTGAGGAGACGTCGCGGAGTGGCGAGCTTTCCTGCGCAGGCCGTATTTCAGCATGGTCGAGTGGAAAAATTCAAAAAAGTTTATTTCAAGAAAACCCCAAAAGGAAGGTGGGGGAAATGTCCTCAGCGCTAGAAGAGGTGTTCTACTATCTGCCGGTGTATAGTTCTGGCCAACTGAGGACGTAGCTGGCTGTTTTGCCAGCGCTTGTAAATTGGCTATTTTCAAGACGATCATTTGTGGCGTCAGGGGGTGATGGACCTCGTCTTCTGGGATGCTGGCGTTTCTAGACCCATATATAATGTGATATCAGTTCGGCCATTTTTGAGGGGTATGCAAATTTCAAGGTTCCCTTCAGAAACCCTTTCAAGGGCTTTGCACAATCAATCCACACCCCAAAGGGAACCCACCTGCCAATTTTGAGCGAAATCAGAGAGATCCACTTGCACACATACTTTGGTATTCTCAGACATGCTCTCTTAAATATTATCCTGCAAAGTATTATGTACATGTAGGTGCGTGACTACTACGTCATGTACTACAATTGGTACATGACTTAATAATAGCCGTCTGGTATTGTACAATAACTTTTTTTTTTTTTTTTTTAATGGCTTTCTCTTCTTCCTCGAATGGTTTACAATCTGTATCACAATTATTTGTGGGTCCCGTACCTGTCCCCTACCTGTCCCGTACCTATCCCGTACCGTACCGTACATTCAAAGACGGTTGGCCACAATGCATATTCAAATAGGCTTTCAAATACAAGACCATAACGTGAAGCAACTTGGAAGAATTAGTATGTATGCGAAGAGTATCGGGGGATGCATGCAGGGCGATAGTGCGGGTTCGAATCCCAGGTTATGTCTCAAACAAAAAGTAGAAACTTATAAGAATTTATAACATCCCTATGCTTTTTTTGTCTAGGTCATCAAGGCAAAAAAGCATAGCGTAGGGCCCTGAGTTTCCAAGCTCTCTCGTTTATAAGAAGATAAAAAGGACCAAAGAGCTACAAGTGACGCTATCATTATTCTCTAGCACCACCAGTTACTTTACAATCAGCTCATGCATAACCATTGCACGACACTGACCAACGGTACTGACAGTCTACACCTAACTGGCAACCTGCTCTAGCACATCTTGGATGCGCACTCCAATAGCCTTCCAGTTTGGAAGGATCTAAGCTATAGAAATAACGTAAGGAGGGGGAAGGTGAGGAGCTGACTGTAAAGTAACTGGTGTGGTTAGTGGATAATTATAGCGTAACCTGCAGCGCTTTGGTCCTTTTTTCTTCTCATAAATTAATCATTGTCTGCCCACCCGAATCTCAATGAATAATAACAAAAGAAAAAGGTGTTAGAAATAACATCATGATACAAGTGCAATAAAATCACTAGAGGATACGCTTAATGGTAACACGATTACGCAACTAAAGGTGAGAAGGCACTGAACGAAGTGTCAACCTACGAATACAACCTCAGTGCAACAACTTGTTCTTTCTGCTTACACAAAACAAACTTATGAATACGTATACAAACTGTCTCAAGGACTTTCAACTGTTGGACATAACCCGCACGACACAGTACAGAAAAATGAGAGTCATCATACACACCAAGACAGTCAGGACGAGATAACAAGTGTAGATACACAGTTGACTTCTTACGTTCAAAGCTGCATAGCCAGTGGCTGGAAATGGTGAAGTCTAGTCTAGACACTAATATCAAAAAAGTATTCTTTCTAGACCAAAGAGTGGTATATTTGATAACATTTAATAACGCTAGAAATATTTACGATACTTCTCCAGACGTTTCATTGTTCTGAACAACATCGTCAGTGGATAAAGAAACGAAACGAAACGTCTGGAGAAGTATCGTAAATATTTCTATCGTTATTAAATGTTATCAAATATACCACTCTTTGGTCTAGAAAGAATACTTTTTTGATATTACAATGAGAGTGAATAATCAACGGCTTGTCCACCAACTCTAGACACTAATGCTGTTCTATGACGTAAGGGGCGTAAAGCCGCCAACTACACTTTCACAACTCTACATCTCATAGTATCACATCTCTTCATACCTCATCTCTTCACACCTCATATCTTCAAACCTAATCTCTTCATACCTCATCTGTTCATACCTCATCTCTTCACACCTCATCTCTTCATACCTCATCTCTTCACACCTCATCTCTTCACACCTCATCTATTCATACCTCATATCTTCATACCTCATCTCTTCATACCTCATCTCTTCATACCTCATCTCTTCAAACCTCATCTCTTCACACCTCATCTCTTAATACCTTATCTCCCCACATACTTGTCCCTAATCGGCCTATACCGGTACTCGCACCATCGCCTCATCCTATCCCTTTCCTATTCAGCATGACACACATGTTTCAAATTGTGTGATTCCAAGTCAGAATTGGAGGTGAAGACTACATAAGAGAGATGGGTGTGGGGTGGGTTTTTGTATTTTAGAAAAGCTGTCAGCTTTCCTATTATCCTTTGTATGTGATTGAGTGTATGCGCGTGATTTCACAAGATTATAATATTGCGTAAAGTATAATTTCAGTGCCAGAAATAGATGTGAACTGTGTTGATGTGCAAACTTTGCACATTGTTCTTCCAATTACTAAAGAGAAACACCAGCTGTTTACTATTTACAAAACTATTGACTACAACTAGGGAGTGTTGTCTTCCTATTTGAACTGACTTCTTGCTACTTGTACTTCCATTTTATTTGTTGTTTTAATCAGGATACCTTGCAGTGCTAGGAAGGAGAATTACGGTTGTGAGAATTGTTCGAAGTAGGTGAATCATGGACGACTGTGACTGGACTTCGGAGGAGAGCAACGACTCTGATGCACTCTCACCTCTGCCGCCATTAGTGATATGGACAAGCAGAAGGTCAACCGCGTGTTCTCCACCGCCAACTGCACCATCTTATAGTACTCGTTATCCAGCCCTTCACCACGCATATCCCAATAGTGGTAATGAAGTAGCCATATCAGAAGTCTCCTCTTCCCGTCAATTTCTTCAAAGCACCACATGCAACCCTTGGAAAGCACGAGCATCTTGCTCCGGGATTCTTCAAGATCATGGTCTCATGGACATGGTGGAAGATAACTTCAGGGACACTCGATCAGAAATACAGAGAAACAAGGATATAAAGACCAGTGATGCTTCAACCACAACTATGGGAAACCCATGTTTGGATTCCTTGACATCGGCAATGGACAAGGATCAAATTTTGCAAGGTAAAAGTCCACCAAGTGTTAACTGCTATCCCGAACCCATTTCAGATCTGTACACCGACTTCGAGGAAGTAGCGTTTCACACTGAATATGGCGAGAACCACAGCAAATCTGCCGACATGAATGTTCACGTAGAGCTTGTACACAACTTCGGACATTTTCCAGTGTCTTCTTCAGTGGCTAGCCTACCCGCAGATTCCGATCATCACGACCGTGAAAAAATCAACACTCATGACACCTCTGAACTTGTTTCTGAATCAATTTGTCGACATCAATTTGACCTTCCCTACCCAGACGAAACACTCTGCGAAGAAACCGAAAGGTCACTGGATCGCCAGCCCGATAGGCATGATCGCGAACATTCACATCCAGGAGAAAAGCCATATAAATGTAAGCATTTCGATCAATCTGTTTCTACTCCGTCTTGCCTAAGTTCTCATGAATTTACACATCCAGAAGAGAAATCGTTCAAGTGTACAGTGTGTGACAAAATGTTCACTACGCAACATAATCTTACCCATCATGCACGACTTCACTCAGTAGGCAAAGCGTTTCCGTGCAAGTACTGCGCAAAGCCATTCGGTGACAAACACGGCCTACATGTTCATGAACGTATCCATACCGGGGAGAAGCCGTTCAGGTGTCGTTCCTGTGATCGAATGTTTCGCCGTAATACCCATCTTAGAGTTCATGAACGTACCCATACTGGAGAGAGACCATATAAGTGTAAATCGTGCGAGAAGTCACTCAAGACGAAATCACATCTCAGTCGGCATCAACGCATCCATACTGGAGAGAGACCATACAAGTGTAACTTGTGTGATAAGTCATTCAAGACAAAACCAAATCTCACAGCGCATCAACGCATCCATACTGGTTAGAAACCGTACAACTGTGACGTATGTGGCAAAGCATTCCGCGCAATGTCAACTCTCGCAAATCATCAACGAATCCATACTGGAAAGAAACCATTTTCGTGTAAGGAATGTGGAAAGTCTTTCACCCGGAAATCCGGCCTAACAGGTCATGAAAGAATCCATCGATGAGAGATAGTGATCAAGTGTAAGAGATCGTGAAAGGTCCTTCGATGCGAAAACCAGATGGAAGACCATGCAAATACAAACAACCTAAACAGAGGGCGACTTGTTCCCAAGATCATGGAAAATTTTATTGATAGGTCCGTTCTGAATCCCAAGTGGCGTAAATGTCTTTTACAGCCCAATGTGATATCCATCAGAAGTTCACTGCTTACGGTATTCTATGATAACGTCCACATTATGTAGAACTACAAGCATTATCATTTTTGAATCTATTTGAGTTGATATCCGCTGTTTCTTTCCTTGTTTTCCATTGCATTTCTCACACAGAAGAAACGTGTTTCCATATTTTCCATGCATTAGTTAAAAACGCAATTGCGCTCAACGTTCCTGTATGGTTCATTTTTGATAAATCAGTCCTGTTTTATATCGGATATCCTGCTTCTGGAGCACGAATGCCTAACATGGATCTTTTCGCTTATAGTGGCGATGTGCTGTTTTTAAGTTCGCACATGATGCTAAAATGTTACGCATATATGTACACTTGGTCTCATGTGTAATATTGAGTAGTAGCTTTCTACTCCTTGTCACAACTCGTCGACATCTTCTAATACTATCTAACTGTCCATTTGTTGGATGAAAATGTGTGAACGGGAAATTTGACTGTCAATATAAGAACTCAAACCTGAGAAACCAGATTATGACCTGCAAATTCCTTTCTTTTCTCACATGTTCTTGAGCATGAATGTTGTATCAAGAAATGGACTAACGCCACGCTATAGGGTAGTGTTCATCAAAGTAGCCACCGTTCACCTTTTTCTTCTGACTTCGGAACTCTTGCTTCCTGTGATTTCGCACAGACTGGTGGTTCGCAGCCCTCACTGTTACCCACAAGCTTCCCAAGAGATATATATAGCGGTGAGGCCCAACAAATATAGTCTTCATCCTTTTGAGAACACTGTGCAAAGGGGGGGAGCTCTGAAGACAATAATAATTATTGAGTGTCACCACCAGGGCCCTTTCTTTTGTCCTGTGATGCTCTGTTTGATGTCTTGTTACGTAAATATATCTAACTCCACTGCATCAGACCAGTGTTAGGTTGACAAGCTGATTACTATAGTCACAATTAGGATGCACCGCCAGTGTGCTGAATATGCTAAAAACAACCGAGACAGAGAGTATTTGTTATGCCTACCTTAGCGGGACAAAGCCAGGTCGTCGCAACTCAGGGTTTCTCGCACGAGCATGAGTTTCATGATCATTACAGTGCAATCATAGTGTAACCAAAAATGGGCATTACAATATCCTTGTAGCATGGAACTAGACTTTTTCCATTGCTATACTCGAAATAAATGTGAGCTCGTGCGACACAAAAAAGACGGGCTATGATAGTTTCCACGAGGAACTGATCTTCCCTTCTGTATGATTGGGTGTATCTCATTCACTGCGAAGACACTGTTATTTACTATACTTGGAGTCATGGGGCGGCGTCTGTGCTTAATCCAAATATATCTCGTGTCTTTTACTGCAATGTTAGGTAGGAAAACATGGATGCAGTGAATGGGATTTTCGGTCTTTAACCACTTGCTCGTGAGCTGATCTACTCACCTCCCACCGCTTTAGGAGCTCCATCTGTGCCTTGATCCTTGTAGGGTGGAGGCGCTCCTGCGGACGCGGAAAGCCCGGCTTCCAGTCTCACGCGAACCGTGACAGAGAATCTCGTCTACAGTCCTCAAATTCGATTCGGTGAGGCACATTCCTGATTGGCATTTCCAAGACCAGTGTTCACAGATCTAGGGCTGCACAACACTCAGATCCTACTTCAGTGACTGGATCGTCTACATCGAGTCATAGAGCCTACATATCCACACTTTTTGGTGCACTGCATTGTCACTGAACCGGAGACAGTACATGAACGCATTCATACAGGAGATACACCTTTTCAGTGTGGCAGGAATGTGGAAAGTCTTTCGCCATCCAGTCTAACAGTCATAGAATCTATCCCTGAGAGAATATGATAAAGTGTTAGCGCTCTTGAGAAGTTTTTATATGCGAAAACACGCCTTTGAAGCCCTTGCGAATACTAACAGCCGAAAAGTTGTCATTCTATATGTTTATCCTAGGTCTCCATGCAAATTTCACTACTTACATGCTGAAGTCAACACATGTAACATCAATACCATTATCATTATCACTGTATTCCAGTTGATATCTACGGTTCTATTCTATGTTATCCGTTGCACTTCTTATAGAGAAGAACTGTATTTCCAAATTAATCATGCAAAACCTTTTAACCTTTTAATCTTTTATTTGCGCTGTGTGGTTCATTTGTTGGCAAAATAACATTCTTTTCTTTAAAATGTCGCCCATCTTCAACGAGCATGCCGGATACAGATATTTTCGCTATAACATACGCTGTGTTGTTTGGGAGCAAAAAATGGGAGTTCCTTTGTTCCTATGTAGATCTACCTTTGATTCCATATGTAGTAATTATTGTATAGTTCCGTTCTAAACCTTGATAAAATTAGTCAAAATTAGTCAAAATTTCCAAAAACAAGTTAACCCACATGCATGCACGCATACACACAATAAAACAACCAAAACATCAATATGCACATTTATCCAGACACGCTCTCCCATACACACGCACGCATGTACGTGCCAAACGTACAAAACGTGGACACATGTACACCAAGCAGATAGAATACAAGGAAGTGGGGTTTGCCATATTTTTTTTTTTCAATTTTGTCTGATAAATATTTACGAGACTTTGCATCGAGCGACACCGTGGATAACATTGAGCCAAGAATTATGCAATAAACCAGAAGAGATATCTCTTCACAAGTAGGCAAATAAATGCGTAGGTGCCCGGCAACAGCAATCGGGCGAGTCACAGCAATGTACGTATTGCAACTTCAATGATACACATACACGGTTGACCACCCATGCCTCCATTTTCGGCGGGTCAACCACATGGTGGCCCGGCAACTTCAAACGGGAACACACCGATACAACATACACAGTTGACCACCCATGCCTCCATTTTCGGCAGGTCAACCACATGGTGGCCCGGCAACTTCAAACGGGAACACACCGATACAATAGACACAGTTGACCACCCATGCCTCCATTTTCGGCGGGTCAACCACATGGTGGCCCGGCAACTTCAAACGGGAACACACCGATACAATAGACACAGTTGACCACCCATGCCTCCATTATCGGCGGGTCAACCACATGGTGGCCCGGCAACTTCAAACGGGAGCACACCGATACAACATACACAGTTGACCACCCATGCCTCAAACCGGCGGGTCAACCACACAACAACATACAGGTGTCACAACACTGAGACAGTACAGCACAACACTGAGAGGCAAATGCATTTGACCCTCCCAAAAACCAGTGTTTACGACCAAGCATTTCTCACGGCATCGCTCATTAGCATAACTTCCTGCAAGTAACCATGGCAAACCCCTAAGTGATACCCACAGAGCCACACCGGCACAAGGACTGCACAACAAGCGGAAGGCACAACACTGTACAACACTACAAATGTACCTCACTTCTGTTCTCAACACCACATGGGCGTGGGCTGTTCCAGTCTTTGCTGCTAGCCATTGCACAGAGGGTATACCGGCTGCACGCCTGACATAGTGATCGGATGCTGCACTTCGCCAGCAGCCTGCACGGCATATGGCTGCTTCACAGACACTTGTACTCCGGTGAGCCATGAGTGTGGCCCCGCCAATGCGCACAGAATGGGAGCTCACCCGGTTGCAGTTGAGGATCCTAGTCGAGAAAACTCGGGAGAAGTAGCCGCCGTCGACGAACACAAACACTGGCCGTGAGCTGCCGGCAGTAGCGGTCAGGGACCGGAACTCGGCCATAGCCGAAACTGGGTACATCAGATTATGTGTGCGCAAATACTGGGCTTAAAGGTCTGAGTCGCTCATGAGATCATTGCTGGCAGCAATCAGAGCGGCGAGTTCAGCGGAGGAGTTGGCACCAGGCACTGGTTGGCTGTGGAAGCCAGTTCTCGGAAGCGAGTAATCACAATAGGTTCATGCTGCATCTCAGCGGCCCGTTGCCCCAAAAACGATTGTCCTTGATAGAAACCGCAGAAGCCAACATCAGAGGCATCCGTGAATAGCTCAAGGTCAGGGGACTTTGAAAACTCGACATCGTAGAAGAAGGATTGGCCATTCCAGTTTGCGGCAAAGGAGCGCGACCATTCGATGTCCAAGTGAGCTTTTGCGTTGATGTTGACTACTGACTGAAGAGACTGAGAGAGTTGTCCAGCTAAGATACAGGAGTTGACGGATGAAGGTCCTGCCAGGAGGAACCACCTTTGCGGCAAGGACAAGGTTCCGATCAGCGACAGCAGTTACCGCGTTGTGTAGCTAGTGCGCGTGGACTACTCACTCAAAGCCGCTAGAAAGGCAAATAACTTCTTGTCAGGTAGCCGCATCACCTGGTCCTCGCTGTCGACTTCTATGCCAAGTACCGTCACCACTGTTGCTGGGCCGACCACCTTGCTGAGGTTGTCGAAGACCTGCGGAACCGTTGCTTTCAGTTGAACTCATTCCATTGACCATCAAGCACACGAACATAAGCACCTTGTTAAGTGCAGCATACTGGTTCTTGTGCTGGCCTGCACAGCTATCAGGAATAGTTTTACCCAGAATGACTGGGTTGATGATTTCTCCCTGAGATAGGGTAATGCCACGTGCACAGCAGATGTGGTGCATAACGAACGCACAGTGGGCATAAAATCTTCATATCCACATCAAAGGCCACAAGCGTTTGACAACCACACCTGATACGTAGATGATCAACGATCGTCCCTGCACTCAACGTCGCTCCAGCAGTAGTAGCATGTTGCAAACCACCATCGTACGTTGTCAATGTAAATGCCTCTGCTCCTTGTCTACTTCCTTGGCTAGATTTTTTGACAGGTAATCACAGCCATTTCTGAGTTGGCGTCAACGCCACTCGCCATGTCGAGGCCTAAATAACTGGTCCTCTGCTTCGAGTAGTTCTTGCTTGGCCTCATGAACTCCAGGAAATTCACTACTGCGACCATGAGCTACTCTATCTGCCCACGCAAGAAATAAATATTTCAACCAAGCGCGATCGATCGCTGTTTGAAGTTGTGAATTTTCAAGCGCTTCCAGCTCACACGAGTCAGCGCTTGTCTACGCAGACTAGCACAACTAATACTCTTGTACAGCTTGGCGGAGAGACAAAGGAGAAAACGGAGAAAACACAACCTTGAGTCACTTTGGCTAACTGGATGACAGAAATTGTTGACAAGGAAGTTGCTTTGCTGACACGAGGCAGGGCAAAGCGGCTACGCAAGATTTATTTTTTCATCCACCATTTTCGGAAAAAATATTTTTTATTCATGTGCCGCGTGACGAACCGTGACAAAACACGTGCATGCGTGGGCTAACTTGGCTTTGCTGCTCAAAGCCGTCATTTATTTCGTAACATCAAGAGTACATAAGTATTATCCATATAAAACCGCTCTGTGAGCGGTTCTGAAAAACCTTTACTGGTACTGCCCCGTCGTAAAAGTAAGAAATTAGAACTGGTCCATTATCCTCCCAAATGCGAACTGATCCACCTAAATCGCGAATGACGGGACCCGAACGCACCAGTAGCACGAGGTCGGGAGGGCACAGAACAGCAATTATCATAGGGTAACACCACCTACCGCTAGTACAGTACATGGCCTTTGGTCCGGACCAACGTCCCCATCTGCATCCACAGGTAGGAACCTCGTGCTACTGGTGCGTTCGGGTCCCGTCATTCGCGATTTAGGTGGATCAGTTCGCATTTGGGAGGATAATGGACCAGTTCTAATTTCTTACTTTTACGACGGGGCAGTACCAGTAAAGGTTTTTCAGAACCGCTCACAGAGCGGTTTTATATGGATAATTTCAGTTCTTTTTCCGTTCCCTCCCCACCCCAACCCCGAAGATAAACATGATGACCACGCGCGATGTACTGTATGTAGCCATGAGACTGCAATAAAACACTGATACATACCAGCCCTCCCCGCCTCGCTACCCCGCACACAGATACACAAACATGCGTATGCACACGGCACACACACGTGGCCACGCACACATACGCACATGCACACGGCACACACACGTGGCCACGCACACATACGCACATGCGCACGACACAAACAGGAAATTCTTCATATATAATGCCATGCAAAGCAGTGGCCACCGTACTTGAGGAAGTCAGTTGTGAAACAAAAATAATTCAACTACAGCGTGTAGACAAGCTGACGGCCAAAGCACAACATAGCAAACATGACATTTGCCCAAGGATTGCAGTTTGCAGACCACGCCATGGAAGCAGCGAATACAGAATGTAATATCATACAAAGTGACAAGAAAGGAAGTGGCCATCATACACCAGAAACTTGCAGAAAGTCACACATCCAACAGATAGAGAAGTGAACAGCAATCTGATACAGCCCAGACAGGACAAAGCTGACCTGATACTCGTCCCAGGATCGCAAGTGGCAAATCCTTTTCAATGCATAACATGCACGTGTACGTTAGACGCATGGACAACATCTGACCGTGTCGCCAGCATACAATGTCATCACATGTTTACCCCACAAGTTACACACATGCACAGTAGAAGCACAATGAAAGCAATGGAAAAGTACGATGCGGTTGCTGAAGCATCTTCACACTTCAAATTCAGACTTCAATGTGGTCGTCACGGGATGATATACCTGCAAGATACAAGTGATGAAGAAAGAAAGCAGAAGGTCGTGAGGTAGGCTATGAGTAGTCCTTTCCCAAAGATGCCATAGTTTTTCGCAACTTATGCTTTTCGCAACCGTGCCAAAACAAGTGCTAGTTGCTGAAATTGCATCCATATTTTCAGAAAAAGCTCAAAAGTTGCCAACATCGCAACTCAAAATTGGAGAGTTCTTGTGCAAAACCTACAAAACAGGGAGCAGAAATAGCAGAAATGCAGCGATGCTGCGACAGCAAACTCGTACACCCCTTCCTGCTGTGAACCACCATTTTACACAGTGCCAGTAGCCTGTTGCATGTATCCTACATGTACATGTACATCATTACAGTGCACGGAAAAGGGAATGCACATAATTATCGTAACTACCGTTGATCTACTGTTTCTCAGAAATGAGCCTGAAGGCAGGCGAGAAATGAGCGAGCACGAGTATGTATTTGTCCAACAATGCAACATGTAGTCGGTGACTTGACCTTTCGACCCCATGCCATGGGGCCAATTGCGCCAAGGTTGCGGAGAAATTGCGAAATAGTTCCGAAAAATGAAGAAAGTTGTGAAAGTTGCGATTTCTTCCTAAACACCGAAAAGTTCCGAAAAAAGTGGCGAGCATCTTTGGGAAAGGGCTAGCTATGAGACACCACAAACGGGTCACCTACATGTATGTTCAGGGCTAGTGCACTCACACGCAGAATTGTCATAATCGAGCATTTCCCAAACTGAGAAGTGCAATGAAATCCACTTGCATGCACAGGAGCAATTTTGCAATATTATGATGCGCAATTCGACACGATCTGCGATGCTGCGTGCGATGTGCCCTGCCGTCATGATGGTGACAGTCACCGCGGTATGTTTTGTCAACGTCGCCCTTGCACTCTTCTGTCAAGTCCAAAGTGCTCACATACTTGGCAATGTCTTTGCAGTGATTAACTTTTATCCTAGTTATGTCACGGGTAACTTTAATGAAGTACCCGCAGGCCGTGTCGATCCGCACATCGTCCACTCTCTCATATACTTGGCCTGCTTTGTCTGTGTATCCATTTCATGTGCGATCCACAAAATCGACTAGACAGTGGGTGCAATACGCTCTCTATCTGAAGACGTTCTTCTGGCGACATCTCGCCATGTACTTGGCCTGGCTTTGCCTGAGTATCCATTTTCATGTGCGATCAACAAAATCTCAATGCACTACAGAGACTAGACAGTGGGTGCAATACGCTCTCTATCTGAAGACGTGAACCATTAAATTTGTTGGAAAAGTTATACGTACACCTGAAACGTAATGAAGTACAGGAATAGAGAGAGTGACTACAATACGCTCTCGACCTGATATAGTGATAACGTGTTAGAAGGTAACAGGTCTACAGTCCCACCGTACCCTTCCGACACGACTGTAGACCATTAAAAATTTTTGAGAAGTTATACGTACACCTTAAACGTAATGAAGTACAGGAATAGAGAGAGTGACTACAATACGCTCTCGACCTGATAACGTGAGTACAAGACACTCTCCACCTGATAACGTGTTAGTAGAAGGTAACTGGCAACATATCAATGGGTTGCCTTACCGTCGTCTAGAGGAAACGTCTTCGCAGCAATATTTTCCCTCCAGCGCATTCAGTCGCCGACGCGACATCGTTTACTGGGCCGTTCCAGTTGCGGAAGACATTCGATTCATCGGGCCAATTCAGCAACAGGGCCGTGGACACACAGGGGGCAGAGGAGAGACATTGTTAGTGGACAAGAAAATAATATGCAGTGGCAAGTGGCGAGTGCCGCACGGATGTCAAGTTGTCATGCACAATTCAGCTACTCCTTACGGTCCAGCTAGTCCTGCCATTGCTCGCTCGTCCTGGTTCCTCCTCGTTCGTCTTCCTGCACGTCTGCTCTTCTCCTTCCCCACCGTTGGCTTTGCGGTACGGGGGTGGCGGAAGGAATTCCCACCATGTATCCATGTACATGAAGTCCCACCATGTCTCCATGTACATGTCCACGGCCACGTCAGCAGTTTGTATAGTACCGGAAGGAGTTCCCACGATGTCTCCAAAGGCCTAGAGCGGACGTCTTTGCAGCAATTCTTTTCACCCTGCACATTCACTCCGCCGACACGACATCGTCGACAGCGTTTACGGGGCCGTCCCAGGTGCAAAAGGTCCACGTCAGTAGTTCTCAACTATTTCGCGTACGGGATAGTCGCCGCGACAGCGTTTAAGGGGTCGTTCCAGGTGCAAAAGGCATCCATCAATGGCACTTTGCAGTACGGGGGTACGGAAAGGGGCCTCCTCGTTCGACTTCGTCGACTTCTGCATGCAGTTCTCCTTCCCGTCGACCGAAAGGGGTCTCCTCGCAGTTGTCCTTGCCGTCAGGTCCACGTCATGCAGTTCTCAACTATTTCGCGTACGGGATAGTCGTCTTTGTCGTACGCGGCATCGGCGTTTACCGAGTGGCATTGGCACAAAGCAGACCGTTGACGGGGTCACGTGTCAAAAAAGTATCAACAACGTGTCGACTAAGTGTCGACCACGTGTATAGCGGTACACTCAGCGGTACACTAATTCTCGTGCCATTCTCGTGTCACAAAACTGGAACATCGAGTACCAGTATGGAAAGGCTTCAGACAGGAAGCCTTTCCAATGTACGCTTGGTAACATGGACATTGAGGGCACAGGTTATGCGATCGAGTCCACCAACTAAACCAATTTTTTGAATAGTCAGACTTGCACAATATATGTTGGACTCAGTAGAGCGTCCAGCCCCTATATGATGTCCAACCCCTATATAGAGTCCATTGGTCCAAAATCCACTGTACAGAGTCCAAGCTTGGAATCAACTGTGAGCTCAACGTTTAGATGGACATCACTCCCTGTATAGAGTCCAGCCAATTGGCTTAACCCCTATATAGAGTCCATTGGTCCAAAATCAACTGTATGGAGTCCAAACTTTGAAATCACCTATAAAGAGTCTTTATGTGGACCACACTCCCTGTATAAAGTCCAGCCAATTAGGCATCCCCTATCCAGAGTTCGAAATTAGACATAGGGTCTGCTGTGAGCAGTGAATAATAACCAGAAAACGGCCTCTCCCTTTTGATCCTTTACATCATTGTCTTCTCAAGATAAAAAATAAGTATTGAGGCGCCACTGCAGCCACTTAACTAAAAGAAAAACCCTACAAACACCATCCTCAAATCAAGTGGTCTCTTCGCAGGCGCTGCAAATTACAATATCTCAATCATGTTGTGTTGCCAAATTATTGTGCACGCACACACACATGCACACACCCACACAACGCCAAGAAAATACCTAGAAAAAACCAAGAATCGAAAGAGAATAATGGAGAGCCAAGGATTAATTATTTGTTTTCAAATTATTGTGTGAGCGCGCGTGCGCGCGTGCACACACACACAAACGTATACAACGCCAAGAAAACACCAAGAAAAGAGTAGAGACACAATACACACGCAACTCCAACAGCCATGCAAACGTTCACCCATTTACACGTAAAGTCAAGAGGGATAACAAATAATTATACGAAACGAATGCATACGTGGGCGGCTGCACGCACGTTTACATACATGTAGTAGTGTAAGAGAGTAACATAGTGCAGAAGTCAGCATAATACTAGCACATGCTGAGAGTGCAATAGCAAGCTTTACCATTGCTCATGGCCATACAAATGTTCAGCAGCACTCAGTTCCGCAAGCTTCTGAAGATCAGCACACCTGCAACAAATAGATAGCACAAGGATACGCTTATTACCGTAATGATGCATGGGAGCACACAACTACCAAGTTATCAACGAATGTGATGCTCAATGAAAATCCATCCACTCAAAGACCTGTGAACAGGTGACGGTGGGGACAATAATATAATTATTATTAGTAATACCAGGAATAAGATCATTTGTGCACACTCAAGACGCACAGACACACCAACATACATGTATTGTACACGGTGTTTCACTTCACTGCAACTAAATTGAAATGAGATGATTTGAACAATCTGTACAGCGTTGCCGTCAGTCAGTCTTCCCCAAGATGGAAATGCAATGATTTGTAGTCACGAGGCAGTTTCACTGACACAATGTCATGTTTGTGACATCAAAACGGTTACTTCATGGAATACAAGTATTAGCTTGAAGCTTTTTCCTGTCATCGGCATACAAGCAATCCTCCTCCTCCTACTACTACTACTACTACTAGGACACTGGCACTGCGTTTGTGGATCCCATTGTATTTGACATTATACTAGAGCCTAGTAGAGGAAGATTGTCGTGGAGTTCACATAATTATCACAGGAAAAAATACATTTCTCATGAAGTAAAATAATTGATGATAGCTAGACGATCGTATACGATTGATGCAAAGTCCTTGCAGTCCTTGAGGACTATTACAAATTGGCTGATTACTTTTAGGGCATTCATTCAAGCAACATCAAACAAACGCGATACGCTCCTTGAAAATGGAAAAAATTCAAGCATAACGACAGAACAGCAGACCAATCGAAACGAGTAAAAGCTTCCTTACCTCAGTCATCGTCCTGCCATGTAGTTAGACAGCCTTTTGACATGGTGGTACAGCCTACAGGCAGCTCTTGTCCAGCCCAACAGGGTATCCTTGTGGGGTCGAACGAAAGAGAGTGTCAGTGTATCTGACTCGTCAGATTGGAACTGTGCTGAACTTTTCTCGTTCACCGCTTTCTGCTTTCATCCCTCGCTCTGATGAAACCGTTCAAACGTCTTACTGGCAGCAATGGCCAGCCAAACAGGGGATCCTTGTGGCGTCGAACGAAAGAGAGTGTCAGTGTACCTGACTCGTCAGATTTGAACTTTTCTCGTTCTGCAATTTCTGCTTTCATCCCGCGCACTGATGAAACGTCTTCAGAGAACCACAAGACGCTTTCCAGATTTGATTTTGAACATCTCCTTATCCTCCTTGGTTACCTCGAGACAGATTACTGTCAGCAACTGCACAGCAGAACTGGCAGCCATGGCTGAAGTGAAGAAAGGAATGCGCTGCCACGAGGCAAGCAAAACATAAATTTTAACTGAGAAGGTGTTTGTTCTCTTTCGGGCACAACACACGTACACAGGTACTGGACTCCTGGACCGTGAATAGGGGACTTGCAGAAAAAGTGTACTCCTTATAGAGGATTGCGCGGCAGGATGAAGCTGATCAAAACTGAGTGGACTCCTGGACTCTGTATAGTGGATTTTGGACCAATGGACTCTATATAGGGTGCTGGACATCATATAGTGCATGGACTCTATACTGAGTCCTACATATAAAAAAAAACTCACTCGATGGCGCCCGCCTTAATCTTCTTTGGATTTAGCACTAATATCCATGAACCTTCCAAGTTGGAAGGTCGTTGGTTAGCGCTACCGAGCAGTGCTCAAGCTGACTTTCATGCTGTGCAATGTCTCAGTACTCCTTGTCAGTTTTGTGCTGGATTGTGTACGTCTGACAGTTCAAAAATCTGGTTTAGTTGGTAGACTCGATCGCATGACTTGTGCCCACAATTTCCGTGTTACAATATTTTCCTTGGCTCACCATCTGACTTCTTAATCAATTAATTTATGTCTTTGTGATACGCTCGTTCAACACAGCAAACAAAAACAGAGTAACCTATCCAGTGGCAGTCAATGGTGAAGTCTAGTCTAGACTCTCATGCTGTTCGATAGCGTAAGGGGTGTAAAGCCACCAACTACATTTTCACAACTGTACACCTCATCATATCACGTGTCTTCACACCTCATCTCTACACACCTCATCTCTTCACACCTCATCTCTTCACACCTCATCTCTTCATACCTCACCTCTTCACACCTCATCTCTTCATACCTCATCTCTTCATACCTCATCTCTTCATACCTCATCTCTTCATACCTCATCTCCCCCTATACTTATACCTAATCAACATGCACTAGCACCATTGCCTCTTTCTATACTTTCCTCTTCGGCATGACACGCATCCTTCAAATTGTGTTATTCCGAGTCAGAAGTGAAGGTGAAGACGAGATTAGAAAGATGGCGTGTGAGTCTTTTGTTGTTGTGAAGAATGTGATTGAGTGTACTCGCGTGATTTCATAGGATTGTAATATTGTGTCAGGTAAAGGTGCTGAAGTTAATTGTTCCAACTAGGAACACACATGACTCCCATCCGGTGCACACGAGGAGCACGCCGCACCTTCCACTTGGCAAACCTGCAAGAAAGCACCATTCCCCGCTCAATACACAGTGGTTCGGGGAATTCACCCCTCATCAGTTGAGCTTGAGTAGGCTGAGGAAGATTGTGCCTGAAAAGAACCACTTTTCACGAGTCACATAGCAACCGGGTTGTACATGGGGTAGTGGTCTACCAGAATGTAGTCACGATAAAAACTCCACGCTACATGAGGAATACAAGACCACGATGGCAGGTGGAGCAGCAGAGGACGACAGAAAAATGGTGAGTGAAAAATATGCTTTTTACAAAAAAACAACACTTATAGACTGCTCTCCAGGCCAAACCATCAGGGCCAGTGGTACAGACGTACAGAGACGCTCCGTTTCCAGCGCGACAAACACCTTGTGAAGCTCCAGGTAGCAGCGTGAGTCAGAGTCGCTCGTGGAGTTGTACTAAACAGACGTTCAGAGCCATGAGTCAGTCAAGTGTCAAGTTCGGCAAGAAGCGTGTGTTCCTAAGTTGGGTAAAGGTACAGTGCCAGAAATAGATGTGAACTGTGTTTACGTGTCGACTTGGCATACTATTCATCTACTTAGTCAGGGAGAACACCAGCTGCTACTAATTACAAAACTATATCAATTACAATTAAGGAGAGTTGTGTTCGTAGTTGAACTTCGTTCCTGCTACATGTATTTTCAAGTATTCTATTTGTTGTTTTGAATTAGAATACGTTGCATTGTTAGGAAGGAGAATTACGGTTGGGAGAATTGTTGAGGTCCAATCATGGAGGATTTTGACTGGACCTCTGAGGACAGTGTTGACCCTGATGCAATCTCACCACTGCCTCCATTAGTGATATGGACCAGCAGAAGGACAGTTGCGTGTTCTCCAGCGCCAAGTGCATCATCTTATGGTCCACTTTATCCAGCTCTTCACCACGCATACCCCAATAGTGGTAATCAAGTAGCCACATCAGAAGTCTACTCCTCCCCTTATTCTCTTCAGATTACAACATTCAGCCCGTGGAACACACGAACATCTTCCTCCGCTGTTCTTCAAGACCATTTTCCCATGGACTTGGTGGGGGGAAACTTCAGGGACCGTCGACTAGGCATCCAGAGGAACGAAGATACAAAGCCCAGTGATGTTTCAACTACAGCCATCGAAAAACCATGTTTGGCTCCGTTGACATCGGCAATGGACAAGGACCAAATTCCGCAAGACAACAGTCCTGTTCACTGCTATCCGGAGCCCGTTTCAGATCAGTACACAAGCTACGAGGAAGTACCGTTTCACTCTGAATATGGCAATCACTCCAGCATGTCTGCCGATGTAGACGTCCACGCAGGGCATGTACACAATATCGGACATTTTCCAGTATCTTCCAAAGCGGCTAGCTTACCAGAGGATCCCAAGAACCACGGTCGTGAAATGATCAACAATCATCATACCTCTGATCTGTTATCTGAGGTTGTCTGTCAACTTCAAGCTGAAATTCGTCAACCAGAAAACAGGCTCTGCCAAGAAACCGGAAACGCACTTGATCACCAACCCGATAGGCTTGATCGTGGACATTCACATCCTGGAGAAAAGCAATGTAAATGTAAGCATTGCGATAAATCATTTTCTACTCAATCTTGTCTAACTGCTCATGAATGTACACAACCAGTGGAGAATTCGTTGAAGTGTAAAGTGTGTTATAAAACTTTCTCTACGCGATCTAATCTTACCCGTCATGCACGAATGCACTCAGGAGACAAAACGTTCAAGTGCAAGTACTGCACAAAGCCATTCAGTGACAAATACGGCCTACATGTTCATGAACGTATCCATACCGGGGAAAAGCCAAACAAGTGTGATTACTGTGGTCAAAAATTTGCCAAACGTCACAACCTAACATTTCATGAACGTACTCATACTGGAGAGAGGCCATACAAGTGTAACTTGTGTGACAAGTCATTCACGACGACATCACATCTCACAGTGCATCAACGCATCCATACTGGTGAAAAACCATACAAGTGTAAAGTATGTGGCAAAGCATTCCGGGAATTGTCAACTCTCGCAAATCATCAACGAATCCATACGGGAAAGAAACCATTTTCGTGTAAGGAATGTGGAAAGTCTTTCACTTGGAAATCCGGCCTAACATGTCATGAAAGAATCCATCGATGAGAGATACTGATCAATTGTCAGCGATCGTGAAAGTCCTTCGATACGAAAAACCAGATGGAAGACCATGCAGATACAAACAACCTAAACAGAAGGCGACTTGTTCCCAAGATGATGGAAAATGCTATTGCTAGGTCCGTTCTGAACCCGAAGTAGCCAAAATGTCTTTTACAGCCCAATCTGATATCACTGCTTATGCTATGCTATGATAACGTCAACATATGGAGCAATACAAGCATTATAATTTTTCATTCCATTTCAGTTGATATCCGCTGTTTCTTTCCTTGTTTTCCACTGCATTTCTTACACAGAAGGAACGTGTTTCCATATTTACCGTGCATTAAAAACATAATTGCGCTCAACGTTCCTGTATGGTGCATTTTTGATAAATCAGTCCTGTTTTATATCGGATATCCTGCTTCTGGAGCAGGAATGCCTGGAATGGATCTTTTCGCTTATAGACGCCATGTGCTGTTTTCAAGTTCGCACATTATGCCAAACTGTTATGCATGTATGTACACTTGGTCCCATGTGTAGTGTAGTGTAGTAACTTTGTACTCCTTGTCACAACTCGTCGAACTCTTCTAATCCTATCCCACTGTCCATTTGTTTGATGAAAATGTGTAAACGAGAAAATTGACTCTCACTACCAGAACTCGAGCCTGGGACAATAGATTAGGACCAGTAGTTCCGTTTTGTGCTTACATTTTGTTGAACTTGAATAATTGTGTCAAGAAATACTCTGACACTTGGCTATGAGGTAGTGGTCTTCAAAGTAGCTACTGTTCAACGCTTACTTCGGACTTCGAAACTCTCGCTTCCTGTTTTTTAACACAGGCTGATGGTTCGCAGCCCTCACTGTAACCCACCCACGTCCAACACAATGTAGAACGCCATGCGACTAAACAAATAAGGCATTCATTATTTTGAGAACAAGGTGCAAAGAGGAAAGGTTTGAAGAAAATATTGACTGTCACGAACAGGACTCGACGAACCCTTACGTATGGCCAGCGATACTCTATTTGATATCTCAGTGCGTGTTGTGAACCCTCTGGTTCTCTAAAGTGTCAGGAACGAACGACCCCACACGGCACGAGGACAACTATTTATTCTCAACAATATCTTTCACTTCCATCGACTAATAACAATGAACAATGAATGGAACAACTGAATGAACTGAACTGACTGAATACCTAACACTAAAACCACCAGGTAGTTATAGCGTGAAAATGACAGCGTATATGAGAAAAGCATACACATACAACATACAACTACAGCGCACACAGCAAACCGCACATAGCGCATGTAGCGTATACTACGTCGTAAACATCAGCGGTACGGCGGAGTCGGGATACAGCTGCATTGGAACGAACACAATGTCACAAGCGAGAAGGCCTTTCACTCTCGAGAACTTGTGGTTTCACAACATTCTCCCCACCAAAGGGCTTCTCACCGCCGTACAACAACCCACAAGTCAAACGATTTGGGGCTTACTACGCGTCATCTGCTGCTGCGGTGGTGGCCATGGTAGAATATCACTAATGCCCACCAATTCAGAAAACTCGACATCGCGAAGCTTGCCGCTGTGGACTGTCGCACACGACACTGTCACCGATCCACTTCGACATGGGGCAGACGCTGGACCCGACAACACACAACCGATAATGTCATAAAGCTCGACGATGTGGGCTGTCACACACGACATGGTCACCGGTACACTGCTTCGACCCGGGGCGGGCGCGGAATCCGAGGACACACATCGGATCTCTGTGTTCCACACAGTCTCGCCGCTTACTTCTTCCGTGCTAACCAGTAGTATCGCCCTTCTTATTTTCTCGGCTTCTACGCCTTGCGTTTCTAAGTCTAGCGCCTCCAACTCTTGCGCCTCCAACTCTTGCGCCTCCAACCCTTGCGCCTCCAACTCTTGCGCCTCCAACTCTTGCGCCTCCAACTCTTGCGCCTCCAACTCTTGCGCCTCCAACTCTTGCGCCTCCAACTCGGTCGGCCGAGACTCCAGCTGCTTCTGAGCGTCTCCGACCGATGTCGCCATGCACTGTACCGACCCAGTGGGCCTCGGATCTGATCCTCCCACTGGCTTCGAATACTCTTCTGACCGCTGCTTGTCTGTAAGCAAAGTCTTACACGCCTTGTCCGGCGTCCTTCTGGGCGAGGCAAGCAAATCTCGCTTTGCTTCCTCATAATATGTACTGACGGCGATGCGCTCGTCCATCTTCCTGAGCTTTTCGTTAAACTCTGTGCGGAGCGCACCCTCTTGCCGTCTAGCACTGTGCTCTTCAAACTCCTCGCGCTGTCGGAGCCTCTTCTCCACGTATTCTCTCAACCTATCGCCTTCAAATCCATACCGAATTCCGTTGGCGATAAAGCTGGCTGCAATGATCCATAGTTCCTGTGCCATGCTCGCTTCGTATCCTGGCGTGGTCGCCAAATGTTGTGAACCCTCTGGTTCTCTAAAGTGTCAGGAACGAACGACCCCACACGGCACGAGGACAACTATTTATTCTCAACAATATCTTTCACTTCCATCGACTAATAACAATGAACAATGAATGGAACAACTGAATGAACTGAACTAACTGAATAACTAATACTAAAACCACCAGGTAGTTATAGCGTGAAAATGACAGCGTATATGAGAAAAGCATACACATACAACATACAACTACAGCGCACACAGCAAACCGCACATAGCGCATGTAGCGTATACTACGTCGTAAACATCAGCGGTACGGCGGAGTCGGGATACAGCTGCATTGGAACGAACACAATGTCACAAGCGAGAAGGCCTTTCACTCTCGAGAACTTGTGGTTTCACAACAGTGCGTAAAACATATCTTACTACACTACATCAGATTGGTGTGAGGTTGAGAAGTTGACTACTAGAGTAGCAGGAGAATGCACCGCCAGTGGGCTGAATATGCTAAATACAATGGTGGCAGAGCGCATGTCTACTATTGCGGAACCAAGCCAGTTCGTCGCAACTCAGGGTTTCTCACTCTAGAATAAGTTTCATGATCATTACTGTCCAAATGGAAGGCAACCATATATTCGCTGCCTTGTTATTGAGCATTTGTGCTCGTTTGGATTTGCGAATTTACATAAAGTATACAAACAAACAACAAACCTGAATTGGGCACAAAAATATCCTTGTGGTAAAGAAATGTACTTTTCCATTGCTATACTCGGAATAAATTTGAGCTCGTACGACACAAGAAAGACATGATTATGTAGATTTCCATAAGGAGCTGATCTTCCCTTCTCTATGATCGGGCGTATCACCTTCCCTGCAAGGACACGGGTATTGACTACATTTGGAGTCATAGCACTGCGCTTAATCTAAATCTCGGTAATTTTACTGCAATGTAAGGTAAAAAAAAGAATCTCGTCAATAGTCCTTAAAATTGATTCGGTGAGGCACATTCCTGACTGGTATTTCCAAGACCATTGCTCACAGGTCTAGGGCTGCACAATACGCAGATCCTACTTCAGTGACTGGATCCTCTACATAGAGTCATAGCGCCTACTCCTCCACAACTTACCGTGCACTAAAGTGTCACTGAAGCCGAGACAGTACATGAACGCATCCATACTGGAGATTAGCCTTTTCAGTGTAAGGAATGTTGAAAGTCGTTCGGTAATCTATCCAGCCTAACAGTACATAACAGAATCCATCCCTAGGAGAAGCAGATCAATTGTCAGCGCTGGTGACACGTTTCTAGATGTTTATGCGACAAAACACTTTGCAAACCTTGCAAGCACTAACAGCCGAAATGTTCTTTTCTACATTTTTATTTTACAAGTAGGTCTACATACAACTGTCACTGCTTACATTCTGACGTCAGCACATGTACCATCAATCACTTTATCATTATTATTATTATTGTACTCCCGTTGATATGTACAGTTTCATTCCATGTTATCCATTGCAATTCTTACACAGAAAGAATGTATTTCCAAATTAACCATACAAAACCATTTAATTGCGCTGAAATTCTCTGTGAGGTTAATTTTAGTTAAGATGAAATTCATTTCTTTAAAATGTCGCTCATCTTCAACGAGCATTCCGGATATTGATCTTTTCGCTAGAGGATAGGCTGTGCTGTTTGGGAGTTCACACATTATGCAAAATATGAGAGTTCCTCAGTTCCTCTTTGTACCCTTGATCGAATATGTAATGTATAGTCCCGTTCCAGACGTAGTTAAATTTAGTCAAAATTTTCAATAATAAATTCATTTAACTCGGATAGTGAGCCTAATAAATTATTGTGAAAAGAAGAAGGACAAAATGTCTGGTAACGTTGGTGAACAGTTAGTCATAACTCGTAACATTTTGTCCTTCTGAAGTTGATTGTTCCAACTAGGAACACACGCTTCTTGCCTAACTTGACACTTGACTGACTCACTTCTATTATTTTAGTTCCTTTTGTCCTTCTTTTCACGATAATAAATTAATTATTGCTTTTTCTCTCCTCCAATACAAAAACAGCAAACAAAAACAGGGTTGTATAGCCAGTGGCTGGAAATGGTGGAATTTAGTCTAGACACTCATGCTGTTCTATGACGTAAGGGGTGTCAAGTCACTAGCTACACTTTTACAACTCATCGTATCACATCTTTTCATACCTCACCTATTCATACCTCATCTCTTCATACCTCATCTATTCATACCTCATCTCTTCATAACTCATCTCTTTATACCTCATCTCTTTATACCTCATCTCTTCATACCTCATCTCTCCCTACACTCGTACCTAATCAGCCTGGACTAGCCCCAATGCCTCATTCTATCCCTTTCCTCTTCAGCATGACATGCATGCTTAAAATTGTGTGATTCCAAGCCAGAAGTGGAGGTGAACACGAAATTAGACAGAAGGTGTCTGGGTGGGGGTTTTGTATTGTATGCAATTGAGTGTATGCACGTGATTCACAAGATTATAGTGTAAGGTAAAGGTAAGGGTTTGCTCCCACACTGCCAGCACCTCGCGCTATTCCACTGACTTGACTTGACACTTGACTGACTCACGAATGCCATCCACAGTACATAAGAAGCCCATCGAACTATCGACTCGGCAAACCTGCAAAGAAGCATCACTCCATGCTCAATACACACTGCTAAAGAAAGCATCGCCGAAGTCGCAACCAATATGCCGTTGGGTAAAGTTACAGTGCTAGAAATAGATGTGAACTGTGTTAATGTGTCGACTTGGCACATTGTTCATCTACGCTCTAAGGGGTAACACCAGCTATTACTAATTACAAAACTGTTGCCTACAACTAGGGAGAGTTGTCTTCCTATATGAACTGAGTTCCTGCTACCTCCAAATACTTTAGTTCGGAAGAGGAATAACGTTGGTGAGGATTGTTGAAGTACGTAAATCATGGACGACCGTAACTGGACTTCGGAGGACAGTGACGATTCTGATGGACTCTCACCACTGCCTCCATTAGTGATATGGACCACCAGAAGGCCAGTTCCGTGTCCTCCACCGACAACGGCATCATCTCATAGTACACCTTATCCAGCTCTCCACCACGCATACCCTAATAGTGGTTATCAAGTAGCCCCATCAGCAGTCTCTTCTTCCAATTATTCTCTTCAGATTACCTTATTCAGCCCTTGGAATACACAAACATCTTCCTCCGCAGTTTATCAAGGCCATGCACCCATGGACATGGTGGCAGACAACTCCAGGGACCCTCGACCAGAAATCCAGAGGAACAAAGATACAAAGCCCAGTGATGCTTCACCCACAGCCGTCGAAAATCTCTATTCGGACCCCGTGACATCGGCACTGGACAAGGATCAAACTAATAACAGTAACCCAACTGCTACCTTCCAACCAGAACCCGTTTCAGATCACTACACTGGCTATGGCGAAGTAACGTTTGACTCGGAATGTGGCACTTACTCCAGAAAGTCTTCCGATGTGGACATCCACACAGGGCATGTTCACAATTTGGGACATTTTCCAGTGTCTTCCCAAGCAGCTAGCTTACCTGAGGATCCCAAGAATAACGATTGTGAAGTGACCAACACTCATCACACGTCTGAACTGTATTCTGAGGAAGTTTGTCAGCTTCAAGCTGAAGTTAATCAACCAGAAAATAGTCTCTGCGAAGAAACCGGAAAGGTACTTGATCACCAACCTGATCCGCTTGACAGTGGATATTCACTTCCTGGAGAAAGCAACGTATAAATGTAAGCATTGCGATAAATCATTATCTACTCAGTCTTGTCTAGCATCTCGTGAATGTACACATTCAGAAGAGAAATCGTTCAAGTGAAAAGTGTGTGATAAATATTTCACTATGTAACATAATCTTACCAGTCATGCACGACTTCACTCAAAAACGTTTACGTGCAAGTACTGCGCAAGGCCGTTCGTTGACAAATGCAGCCTACCTGTTCAGGTACGTTTCCATACCGTCGAGAAGCGGTGTATGTGTGTTTACTGTGAACAATCGTTAACCCAAAGTCACAACCTAAGAGTTCATGAAAGTAGCCATACTGGAGAGACACCATTATAAGTGTAAATCGTGCGAGACGTCATTCACAGCGAAATCAAATCTCACTGTGCACCAACACAGCCATACTGGAGAGAGACCAAACAACTGTTAAGTATGTGGTAAAGCATTCCGGGAAATGTCAACTCTCGTATGTTATCAACGCGTCCATACTGGGGAGAAACCCTTTTCGTGTAAGGAATGTGGAAAGTATTTCACTAAGATGTCCAGCCTTACACGTCATGAGTGGATCCAACCCTGAGAAAACCTGATCAAGTCCAAGCAATCGTGACAAGCCTTTCACGATTGCGAACAACAACATGGAAGACCATGGAAATACAAAACCCCCGAAAACAGAAGGATAGTTTTCAAGATTTTCCAGATACTCAGTTTTTGACTATGCTTCATTTCCTCGTTCTCTCCGCTAGTCGTCTTCTTTTTATCTTGCATCATAGTTGGCTATCATCTACGCTGAATGGTAAAAATTTCCGTTTTCTATGCTTGTTTTTTTTGTGATTGTGCACAATGGACCTGGACGTCTGTAGCATTGAAATCTGTACTAAGTGATGTAATCTTCCGAGTGTGAATTTACATTGAAATTGGTTTCGTAAACTGTACTTATCATAGAAAAAGGTTTCTGCTCCGAACGTCTTTGCTACTAATTATATACTAGTATGGTAATAATTCAAAAAGAAGTACACAGAAGTTAAGAAAGCGTGTCGCGACATCCTTTTCTATTACCAGAGTCTAGGCTTGTAATGTTCGGTTTTTCGCGGAGCAGATAAATACTGAAGAGACAACGGAGGGGTTTTGAACGATCGTAACGAGTTTCGCTTTCGGTCTTGCGAAAAATGCATGCAGAAAAGAAAAATGGACTCTCACCACCATGACTCGAACCTGGGACACTCGACAATAACCAGCAGTGCTATAACACTAACCTATGGTGTTTAGTGGTCAGCCAAGCAGCACCCGTTCAACATATTCTTCTGACCTCGAACCTCACGCTTTCTGTGAATTCGCACTGGTTGGTGGAGCGGAGTTCTCACTGCAACCCACACACTTCACGAACAATGTAACACAAGGGAAGCCCCAACGTACAAAGCATTCATTCTTACGAGGGAAAGGTGCAAAGGGGAAAGGCCTGACGAAATAATTTGCCCGTCACCACCATGACTACCACCAGAGACCCTCCCTAAAGGGCAGCGATGCTCTATTTGATGCTTGGTTGGCAAGTACGGATATTTGAACGCTTGGAACAAATCTTACTCCAATGCATGAGAGCAGTGTGAAGTTAAGCAATCGACTACGAGAGTGACAGAAGGTGAGAAGTTTTCACCCTTTTAACACTACTACAAAAGTGACAGATACTTGGCCTGGCTGAGCTTTCTCGACCATGAGAATGTGTACAGTATGAAAAGTTGCAAGTCGGAGTTGTTGGAAGTGGAAGTCGTGAACTAGTGTACAGTCAGGGCGGCGGAAAAGCGCGAGCACCTGAGCGAAGAGCAAGCTATTTTGGCACTTAGCCTTGAACATGTTTCCATAGGCCACATTTCACACATGCAATGATGCCCCTCCGCGGACATTTCCACACTCTGATGTGTTCCAAGTGCCCAAACAGTGACAGGTATCTGATGGGGCTGAGCCTTCTCACACACGAGAAGTGGGAACAGTGTTTTCGGCAAGGCTTGATCTCAAAGGTTTCAAAAAGTCAAATCGATCCTCAAGTACAAAAGCAAATTCGCATGGTGCAAATGCCTGTACCGGAAAACATGGAATATAACCCAGCTGCCAAACCTGACATCCATATTTCAGCTTTGAGGTTTTAGCACGATCCTGAAATAATACTGGCTCAAATGACAGCCCAAGTCAGAGACCGAGTCAGAGATCAGTATGTTTAGCTTAGATGTGTTAGAACCATGAGTGTGAACAGTATGTAAGGAAATCATATTGCCGACAATATTCCATGTTGTCCATTGCACTTCTTACACAGAAGGAATGTATTTTCAAATTAACTATGCAGAAACAATTTAATTTCGTTGAACGTTCCGGTGGGGTTCATTTTTGATTAAAAAAATTCCTTTCTTTAGAATGGCGCTCCTCTTCAACGAGCATGCCGGATATGGATCTTTTCGCTAGAATATGCGCCTAGATGTTTGGAAGTTCACACATGATGCAACGTGTGTGAGTTGATTTGTACCTTTTTGTAACTTTGATCCCATGTGTAAGATTGCAAAGTCCCGTTCTAGTCCTTGTCAAGAGTAGTCAACATTTCCAATAAAGATTATTGTATTTGCGATCAGCCCGTACAACATAGCAAACCACAACAGAGTTGCATAGCCAGTGGCTTCCAATGGCGAAGTCTAGGCTAGAAAATCATGCTGTTCTATCGTAAGATACGTAAAGCCACTAACTAGACTTTCGCAACTCTACATTAGATCTCTTCCATACCACCTCACTTCATATCCCATTTCCCCCTAGACTGGTGTATAATCAGACTAGACTAGCGCACTCGCCTCATCCTATCCCGTTTCCCTGCCGTGCTAACCACCCCGGATGGGATAACTGTATGTCTACTGCACCGTCCATCCGCGGAGCTGTCATTCGCCAACACAAGAACAGACATCAAACACACTCCAAGCACTATTAGGCGGATACCGGATGATCCTTACAACCTAGGATATGTAGAATTCCAATGAGAGCTTGATTATCAACAACCAAAACAAGACAGAAAGAAGCGAAAAACAGGCTGGCTTCAAGACATCGCACCGATTGTATGTCCATGTAACTTAAAACAAATTAAAATAATAATAGCATAGCCTAGGTTAGTCGGATGCTACTAGAGACAGCTCGTTAGGCATCCTGCAAGTTCTCGCGGAAAGCCATGGGTGTGTAAAGTCATACTGGCCATACCTAAGCGACTGAGAATGAGAATATTACATGTACAGTACTGTTAGGATCTTAGTTAATGTTGTTGATCATGTCAAATGTTATAAATACTACCAATAATATCTCACACGAGGCGAGAAAACCAAGTCTCAATTAATATCTAGCAACAAAGACTCTCAGATTTCACTAACTCAAGTCTGGTGTTGAAGAGTCAGCATGACATTCATGTTTCAAATTGTGTGATTGCAAGTCTGAAGTGGAGGTGAAGACGAAATTGTATGGGTCGGGTTTGTGTAATGTGTGTGATTGAGTGTATGCGCTTGACATCACAACATTATTAAAATTGCGTCGGGTAAAATTACAGTGCCAGAAATAGATGTAAACTATGTTGACGTGTCGAGTTGGCACACTGTACATCTGCTAAGTAAGGGGTAACACCAGCTGCTACTAATTACAAAACTATTTGCTACAACTAAAGATAGTTGTCTTCCTATTCGAACTACGTTCCTGCTACTTCTAAGTATTTTAGTTGTTGTTTTGAATTAGGTAGCTTCGCATTGTTAGGAAGGAGATTTACGGTTGTGAGGATTGTTCAAGTACGTAAATCATGGACGATTGTGACTGGACTTCTGAGGACAGAATTGCCCTTGATGGACTATCACCGCTGCCTCCATTAGTGATATGGACCAGCAGAAGGGCAGTTGCGTGTCCTCCACAGCCAACTTCACGACCTTATAGTACACCGCATCCAGTTCTTCAACACTCATGCCCCAATAGTGGTTATCATGTAGCCACATCAGAAGTCTACTTTTCCCATTATTCTCTTCAGAGTACGTCATTCAGCACTTGGAATACACAAACATCTTCCTCCGCTGTTCTTCAAGATCATGCACCCATGGACACGCTGGCAGACAACTCCAGGGAACCTCGACCAGAAATCCAGATGAAAAAAGATATCAAGCCCAGGGATGCTTTAACCACAGCTGCCGAAAACCCATGTTTGGATCCCTTGGCGTTGGCAATGGACGAGGGTCAAATTTCGCAAGACAACGGTACCCGAACAGTTTACTGCTATCCCGAACCAGTTTCAGATCACTACACAGCCTATGAGGAAGCACCGTTTCACTCTGAATATCGCAATTACTCCAGCAAGTCTGCCGATGTGGACGTTCACGCAGGGCATGTACCCAACTTCAGACATTTTCCAGTGTCTTCTCCAGTGGCTAGCCTACCCGCGGATTCCGACCATCACGATCTTGAAATAAACAACACTCATCACACGTCTGAATCTTTTTCTGAAAAAGTTTGTCAACTTCAATCTGACTTTCCCGAACCAGAAGATACACTCTTCGAAGAAACCGGAAAGTCCCTTGATCGCCAGCCCGTTAGGCTTGATCGCGAACATTCACATCTTGGAGAAAAGCAATATAGATGTAAGCATTGCGATAAATTATTTTCGGCTCAATCCTGTCTAACGTCTCATGAATGTACACATTCAGAAGAGAAATCGTTCAAGTGTAAAGTGTGTGATAAATATTTCACTACAAGATCTCGTCTTGCCCGTCATGCACGACTACACTCAGGACACGCGTTTCCGTGCAAGTACTGCGCAAAGCCATTCGGTGACAAACACGGTCTACATGTTCATGAGCGTATCCATACCGGGGAGAAGCCGTTTAAGTGCGATTACTGTGACCAATCGTTTACCCAAAATTACAACCTAAGAGTTCATGAACGTAGCCATACTGGAGAGAGACCATATAAGTGTGAATCGTGCGATAAGTCATTCACGACGAAAGCAAATCTCACGGTGCACCAACGCATCCATACTGGAGAGAGACCATACAACTGTAAAGTATGTGGCAAAGCATTCCGGAACTTGTCAAACCTCGTATGTCATCAACGAATCCACACTGGAGAGAGGCCATTCAAGTGTAACTTGTGTGACAAGACATTCAAGACGAGACCAAATCTCACAGAGCATCAACGCATCCATACTGAAGAGAAACCATACAAGTGTGAATTATGTGACATGGTATTCCGGCAAATGTCAACTCTCGCAAGTCATCAACGAATCCATACTGGGGAGAAACCACCATTTTCGTGTAAGGAATGTGGAGGGTCATTCACGAAAGGATCCAGCCTAGCGCGTCATGAGCGAATCCATCCCTGAGAGAACCTGATCAAGTGTCAGCTATCGTGACAAGTCTGTCAATGTGAAAAACAACATGGAAGACCATGCAAATACAAACACCGTAACACAGAAAGATTGTTTTCAAGATTGTTGAAAGTGCTACTCATAGGCCCGTTTCGAACCACAAGTAGAATAAATATCGTTTACAGCCCAATCTGATATCCATACAACAGTCACTGGTTGTATGCTAACTTCAAAATAATGTAACATCCGAAACATTATTATTACCGTTGTATTCCAGTTGATGTACACACTTTCATTCCTTGTTTTCCATTGCACTTCTTACAGAAAAGAAACGTGTTTCAATATTTATCATGCATTAAAAACCTCAATTGTGATAAACGTTCTTGTACTGTTCGTTTTTGGTAAATCAGTCCTTTTTTTATGTCGGATATCCTACTTCTAGAGCACACATGCCGGGTATGGATCTTTCAGTTGTTAGAGGCGCTGTGCTGTTTTCAATTTCTCACATTATGCGAACATTATTATGCATGTATGTACTCTTGGGAATGTGTGTAATCTTGTATGGTACCGTTCTACTCCTTGTCAAAACTCTTCAAATCGTCTAATGCTATCTCACTATTCATTGGTTTGATGACATTGGGTGAACGAGAATTGACTGTCACTACCAGAACTCAAACCTTGGACACTTGGTTATGACCAGCGAATTATATTCTGTGCTCTCATATTTTTGAGCTTGAATAAAGATATTGAACGCTAATCTATGGTGTAGTGATCATCAAAGCAGCCACCGTTCCGAACATTTTTTCTGCCTTCGCTTCCTGTGATTTCACACAGGCTGGTGGTTCGCAGCCCTCACTGGAACACACACACACTTCCCACACAATGTAGCAGGCGGTGTGGCCCAACAAACAAAGCATTCATTCCTTTGAGAACAAGGTGCAAAAAGGAACGCTCTGAAGAAAATATTAACTGTCACCACCAGCTCTCGAACCCTTTCGTATGGCCAGTGATACTCTATATGATATAATATTACGTAAACATACCTTAGTCCACTGCATCATCACAGTGTGAGGTTGACAAGTTGACTACTATAGTCACAAATAGGATAAGCCCCGCCAGTGTGCTGAATCTGCTAAATACAATAGTGAAGAGGGTAATTGTGGTGCTTATCGTAGCGGTAAAAGGCCAGGTCGTCACACCTCAGGCTTTCTCACTCTTCTTCTTCTTATTATTATTATTATGGGGGTGGCTTTATTGGTTTTGTGTTTGTATTTTGCAGCATCCCGAGTCATTTAAGACCATGGGGAGTACTGCTGTTGTATGTGAAGAAAATGTAATAAGGAAGACTGAGAAAAAAGAAAGAAAAAAGAGAGAAATACTGTGAACAGCAAATCTACAATGATGCATGTACAATCTATTATACAACTAATCTGCGAGAATGAGACTTAACACAAGCAGGTACAGTAATAGCAAGAGAGCTAAATCAGAAAACAAAATCCGTTGAAAAGTAACCGTCATCAAATCTGAAATCGAGCCCTTCAGCGACACAATAGCACTGAAGGCAGACATATAATTCTTCTCATTCAACATCAGTGAAGCACCGTCAAAACCGGTGAATGGGGGCTGATGGTATTATTGTTGTCTTTGTTATTGGCAAGTGATTAATATTACGATCATAATATTATTATTTTCTGCAAATAGGTGCTTCAACTAATAGTTCGAACCATGGGCATTCGCAAACCAATGTAACTTATTAGAGTGTAATTATTATTTCATCTGAGTTATTGACCTGATGATGTCAACTGTGCCAAGGAGCGCCTCCTTTTGCAAGATCGATACACTGGCTCCGGCATCCAGTTCCCTCACAAAGTCAGCAGTCGAGGGGGTTAATCCACCTAATGCCCCCACAATTACTGGCACGATCTTGGCCCGCACCTGCCACATCTGCTCCACCTCACGCTTCAGGCCTTGATATTTCTGTATCTTTTCCACAGATTTTCGGCGGATGTTCCTATCCAGAGGGACACTTACGTCCACAAGGAACGCTTCATCTTTGCCCTTGATAATAATGTCGGGTCTGTTTGCTCCAACGGGCGCTGCTGTTGGAATTGGCACTTCCCAGTAGATTGACACATCCGTTTCAGCACTGTACACGACGTTGGTGAGTTGGTGACTTGTGTACTTATTCGAAATGTCCGATGCACCATACTTCCTGCACAATGTCCAGTGGAGATATTTTGCTAACCTGTTGTGGCGATTGATATAGTGACTTCCTGCACAAGCTGTACACGCTCCAATAAGGTGGAAAACAGTTTCCTTGTCCCTGCCACACATCCTGCAACTCGTTTTCGTTGACACACCTGTTCCTCGATTAAATATCTCTTGTAAGTTCCGTGTTGGGATAGCCTGGTCCTGTATGGCCATGACAATGCTCTCTGTCGCCGGACGCAAAGCGGAAGACCGCAACCACGCAAAGGAGAGCCCTCGATCCAGCTCAGCATCCTGCAGCATAAGCCAAAATTGGCCATGCAGAGGCTTCTGTAATAGGTAGCCGAGTGGTAGGCGCGGTGAAATCAACAAGAATTACTTTTATTCTACTTTCAGGTACACACCTGAGATATAATCGTTAGTGAAAGAAGAAGCGGCAAAATAAATTTCTTTCTCTCCGGTGCTCACCTAGAGGCTGAATCCTTATTCTTCGAGTTAGCTTTCATTGCTATCTAATCTAATCTAATCTAATCTTCTCTTCATCAAAACAGAAATGCGCAGCCGCTTTTATGCAGCAGACGACGTACGCTTACATACGGAGATATACTAAATATACATCAGGCAAGCTCCGTATTAGTTCCGTACTGCTTCCGTATTGGTCGGGCAGGGATACTACACTTCTTTCTGATTGTCTCCTCCCGATGCCGCTGGTATCCCTGGCGTATTTGCTCCTTTGTGGCTGACTCCTCCATACCAATCTTTGCCAAATATTTTGCAGCATCACTGGAGACAGAGTATTTTGCTTTTTTATGATGGTACTGTTTTAGGAGAGCAATGGCAATGTGGTCTTGGTGGCCCTCGATGTATTTATTGATCTGGATGATGGATCGTTCATGTAGATCTACCACACTTTGGAATCCACGGCCGCCTTCGGCGCGCACCAAATGAACCCTCTCTCTGTCAGCCCGAGGGTGATGCCATCCCTTCTTGGTGAGCTTCTTCCTGAGCAAGATATCCAGCTGCTCCAATTCTACGGGTCGCCAGTTGATGATGCCAAAGCTGTAGGTGAGCAGTGGCACCGCGTATGTGTTTACTGCCTTTGCTAAATATCCAGCCGTTAATCCAGACTTGAAGATCGCATCTAATCGCTTTCCATAATCCTCACGAAGCTTGCTCTTTATCTCACCATGCGGCAGCGCAGCCGATTCAATGAATCCGAGGTATTTGTACATGTTATCTTCTTGCAGGGTGGGTAAAGCCATACCCAACAGTGTTTCGACAGGCTCCGCATCACTTGACTCAAGCACTCCCCGGTGTACATGAAGCGTGGCGCACTTCGAAACACCAAACTCCAGGCCAATGGCCGAAGCTGTGATCTGGGCGACGTTGATCATGGGCGTCAGCTGGTTGCGATGTTTGGCATACAATTTAATGTCATCCATGTACAAGAGTTGAGAAACGACCTTTGAGACCTGTCCAATTTGCATTTGATATCCGCCGCCTGTCTTCTGCACCTCTCTTGAAATGCAGTTAATAGCTAAGCAAAACAAGAGGGGTGATAGCGTGTCTCCTTGGAAGATACCACGGCGAATCCTGACAGATTCTGTAGAGACCCGTGCATTTTGATATGATAAACTCATGTGCGTATTCCAGAGCTGCATGCTTGCCTCCAAGAACTTGACAAGAGCTGGGCTAAATTTGTACATCTCCAGCATCCGAATAATCCATACATGAGAAACGCTGTCATAGGCTTTCTTGAAGTCGATATACGCAACAGAGATATTGCGCTTATTATGCCGAGCGTGCTCCATTATCATCTTATTGACAAGAAGTTGCTCCTTACAGCCTAGTGTTCCCGGGGTACACCCTCTCTGTTCATCTGGGAGTATCGAATTGGTGTCAATGTGTTTCCACATGAGACTAGCAACTACGGCTGTCAGGATCTTGTATTGTGTGGGTAGACAGGTGATAGGGCGATATTGGGCTGGGTTAGATGTGGGTGGCTCCGTCTTGGGCAGCAGGATTGTGCGGCCAGTCACCAACCATTCAGGAATTGGCCAATCACCGACAAGGGTCTTCTGGAAGGCGATTCGCAGGGCAATGTGTAGATTAGATAATTTTTTCCACCAGTAACCATGAATTGCGTCTACACCACTAGCTTTCCACCTGTTGACCTTAGCTAGCGTGTCCTGGAGTGCCTGTTGAGTCACAGATACGGGTTCATCCTCTGCAATGGTAGTCTCATATTCCACTCTTTGTTCTTGATACCACCCTGATGACTCATCAAACGGCACAGGCTTGGCTAGTATACCAGACCAGAACTCGAATACGGCACCCTCACTCGGTATTTCCCCGGGATGCTGCTGCTCCGGTTCCTTTCTCAGTCTACGGTAGAATTCTTTCTCATTTGTGCGGAATAGTGTGTTAGCTCTCCTGCTCTCCCAGATGTGTTTATCACGTCTTGTCCTCTCCGCTAGCGCAAGCAATTCCAGCTTCCTCTGTTCCAGGGCGTATCCAATCTGGGAAGTGTTGGATATTCCGTACTGAGTAAAGAACCGTTGGTGCTTGACAGCAGGGTTTTTCAACATCATTGTTAGTCGAGATATATCTGCCCGTAATTTCTTCGCTTTGTTGCGCGATTTTACTAACCAAGTCGGTTCCGGTGGTCGCGAGCTCGCCGGCTTGCCGCTAGCGTTTTCACCGTTCGTCTCAGACAAGGAAATGCCACATCTGGTCAAGGAACATCGAGCAGCAACATATACTAAGCAATTGAGATCTTCCATTTGAAGATCTTTGTTTTTACTAGTGGTGTTAATCACTCCAGGGATTGCTTTGTTCACAAGTGATGTCACCTGATTATTATTATTATTATTATTCCTCAAACCAGTTAATATTTTATGACTTGGGGCTCCCCACGTGCTAGTTTGTACGTGAAGTGTGTGGGTTACAGTGAGGGCTGCGTCCCACCCGCCTGTGTGGATTCACAGGAAGTGTGAGTTACGAAGTCTGAAGAAAAAGTTGAACGGCCTCTGCTGGGATGACGACTACACCATAGCTCAGTGGTTAGAGCATCGCTGGCTACAAGCGAGGGTCCCTGGTTCGAGTCCTGGTGGTGACAGTCAATTTTTTCTTCAGACTTTTCCCGTTTGTCTCTTTCCCTCAAACCAGTTAATATTTTATGACTTGGGGCTCCCCACGTGCTAGTTTGTACGTGAAGTGTGTGGGTTACAGTGAGGGCTGCGTCCCACCCGCCTGTGTGGATTCACAGGAAGTGTGAGTTACGAAGTCTGAAGAAAAAGTTGAACGGCCTCTGCTGGGATGACGACTACACCATAGCTCAGTGGTTAGAGCATCGCTGGCTACAAGCGAGGGTCCCTGGTTCGAGTCCTGGTGGTGACAGTCAATTTTTTCTTCAGACTTTTCCCGTTTGTCTCTTTCCCTCAAACCAGTTAATATTATTATTTCTCCTTTATTCACTTCTTTCG